ACTAGTGTGAAACATTTTTTTTATTTTTTTTAAATTACTTAATAAAAAAACATTTTTAATTAAATAAGTTAAGGTATCTATTTAAATAGAGCATCAAAGTGTATTATGGAGCTTAAAAAGTAGAGTGTGGTTATTTAGGTCTTTTAGGTTCAATATGGTTGATAGGTCCAAAAAAATGCTTTTGGACCGAACCGGACCGAATCCCGAACATCTAATGTTTTTGGACCGAAGACCAACCCAAAATCTATTTGGTCCGAGTTCAGTTTGGACCTAACAGTTCGGTTCGATCGGTTTTCGGTCCGGACCTAAACGCGAACATCCCTATTCGTAGGTGTACTAGACTTCACCTCAATCTAAGTTTTGTATTCCGTCCGTCCCTAAATCTCTCTGTTTTCAACATTCCAAAATAAATGTCACATTTTTCATGCTTTTTAAGGAAAAAAAGGCACGGTTCACATTTTTTCATTTCTAAACAAATCTTGACTATTTTTTTAAGGAGTTTTCCTGAACTCTTTGAAATCAAAGAGTGACTTTAATTTAGTTTTCCTCTTACAATAATTTCGTTCGTGTTTAGCTTTAGCACTTTAAAAATGTAATTTAACGATATTATTTAGTAAGTATTTTTAAACTTATTGTGCATTATTGTTGTCAAAAACTATTAATCTGCACTATTAAAGTATAATCTAAAGAATAATATTTATAAATGACCCCCTTTAACATGGTATTTTCCATATGTATACTTCTCAACTACATTCATGGATCAAGAAATTTGAAATTATTTCATAATCAATCTTTTGAAACAAAAATGATTCAGATTGTTTCCCATATGCAGAGATAGTCATTATCTAGATGTACAGACGATTGTTATCTCTACATGTGAAACACATCGTGTCTGATGGTGTAAATTATCGACCGGTATATCGTTTTTAGCCGGGCAAAAACGATAAACTAGTTTAAAAAAATACACCAAAATATAAACACAGGGATTTTGACATGGAAACCCAAATCGGGAGAAAACCACGGACCTTTTTTGGCGGTACCTTGCCAACGGGAGAATTTTATTAATATCGGGAGGTGTGTACATGGTACATGAAATGGGCTTGGAAGCCATTAATGGTGGAGCTAGAAGCTCTTGAAGAGGAAGAAAAATACACTCTAAAAATTTCTAGAGAGAAAAACTAGTTTGGGCAAGAAAAATACCTCTTCTTTTATAGGAAGGAGGGAAAGCATCTACGGAGGAATATTCTCTTATTCCTTCATTTTATGAAACAGGCCCGATCTGATTATTCTTCGTAAATAATTGGAAAATGTGGGCCGAGCCACATTATTTCCCATCAGGGTCAAACTTTAGTATGAAACTGTGATGTTAAAAGAGATTTACCCAAAATATGTCTATTTTTATATAAACATATATTACAATATAAGATATTTCAAAAAAAATCAAAATGAATATATTACTCCCTCCGTCTTAAAATGATCTTCTCAATTCAGTTTGCGAGGTTTGACTGAAGTTATTTTAAATTTAATTTGTTTGATTATAAGTGTAAATTTAAAAAATAAAATTAGATATTTTAAAAAGTACGTCAAAAGTTCTACAAAACAATGGGTGACATAACTATATTATTTTATTAAATAACTAACGGAAATAGGTAAAGAAAGTAATTAGAGTTTGACCATGTAAATAGTGAATGAAAAATCATTTTTAGACGGAAGGAGTAATATTAAATTTGTACATAGTATTACAATTCAATATTTTTTTATTTGTAGTCAAAATTTTAAAACGTTAGCTACAGAATTTAGAAGTGAAAGAAAGGTACGAGATTGGGGAAGTAAATAACACCTTTAAATTTTACGATGGACTTAAAGTCTACTATTCACCTACATATGAGCAAAAAAATTAGGGGTGAGCAAAAAAACCGAACTAACATGGTGTCATACCGGACCGTAATGGTACCGAACCGTTTATAGTGTTTTCAAACGGGATTGATTTTTTTCATTACGAACCGAAACCGAACCGACACCAAATGGGACGAGACCGTGATGCATATATTTAAAACCGATTATCACGGACCGAACCGTCCAACGCTATATACGGAGTGCGTATCTCAAATAATTATGGAGTATTTGTCAACTTCATTTTACCATATATAGAATACTTCGTATTTTATTATTTATTTTTAAACTCTCTCATTATTATTGTTGTTGTTATATTTATCATTACTATTAGCATTATTTTTTTTATAGTTATTAGTATTCCAATATTATATGAATTGGGGAAAAAATTATTTTTTAACTTTGGACTCATTATCTTTTATTCTTTATGTTTATGATCCGTTTAAATTTGAAATCAATACTTTTATTTAACAAACTTGTGCTTTTTTATACAAACTTATACATTAAATTCAATATTTTTTAAAGTAATGTACATTCATTTTTTGGCACGGTTTGAGCATGGGTATGGTATTGTACCGTTCCGTTTCAAAACAGAATGGTACTGAATGGTTTTGTAGTTCATCCCATACCGATACCGAACCGTTTAAATAAGAGCGATCCGTGATAGGTTCCGGTAGTATCACAGACCATCACGGACCGCGCCCACCCTTAAGCAAAATATGCATTTCCGAAAGCGGCCTTTAATTGGATTATTTATATATAATGCGCCATTTTTGAGAAAAGGGCCTTTATTGTGGGGTGCCATTTTCCGAGAGTGAAAACTATTCCACCAACCATTTTCCACTCCTCAATTAGTCAAAACTTTGGTTAAATGCCCATTAATATTCAAATCTCCGATCTAATCAAGCTAATGTCAGAATAAGGCGCAATGTTCCCATAGGAGTGTCAAATGGCGGTTATAAATCCGGACCGGTTAAATATCCGGTTTGGCAAGTACTAATTTTCTCGAATTTTTTTAGACCGGTTTAGATTTCAAGATTTTTGAGGGGTTGAACCATATTGATTCCAAGTCGAGTTCCCAATTCGGCTGGTATATATTTCCATACCACCTTTGTTCAAGTATATATGTTTGTCCATTTTGATATTTTACAATTAAATTGAAAATTTTGCTAGAGTTTATTCCACATCAGAAAATTGAAAAGAATATAATATGTCTATAAGTTCTTGGTTTGAATTGGTTAATCATCTTTTAATGTGATTTAATGCAAATGTCCAATTCAACATAATATTTGATGTAAACATAATATTTAATTAATCAATAATCAAAGTTTGTCCAATTCAACTGTAAAATGTTAAACTAGACAAACACACTCATCACTAAAACACGACTGACGCATTTTTATCTCCAAAATATAACGAACTTTGAATTGTGATAATGTGATATTATATATTAACATTTGACAGTATTTTTTTTGGTATTATATGTTGATAATATTGACATTACATGTTTATCCAAAAATAATTAACTATGCATCTCAAATAAAACTTGTTTAATTTGTAAAACACATGATGTTAAACATGTTGATTTTCTAAAACTATAATTGTCATTTACTCTCTACTTATTTATTCATTTTGATTGTGATGTGGGTGATGCAGATGGTGAAATGGGACCCACACTACATTTCAAATGTGGCGGGAGAGATATCACTGGTGATGGGATTAATAATGTGGGCAACAACATATACCCCAATAAGGCGAAAGATGTTTGAGCTCTTCTTCTACACCCACTACCTCTACATTGGGTTCATCCTCTTCTTCACCCTCCACACCGGCTTCTTCTACGCCTGCATCATGCTCCCTGGTTTTTACCTCTTCCTCGTCGATCGGTACCTCAGGTTTTTACAGTCGAGGCAAAACGTCCGCCTCCTCTCCGCTCGTCTCCTTCCATGCCAAACTTTTGAGCTCAACTTCTCTAAGACCCCCGGTACGCGTACTACTAATCTCGTTTCATTTACGATGATTGAATTGACTTGTTGGAAATCTGGGAGGGTGATGACGTTGCGTAGCAGCATTACAAGGAACGGTATACGAACGAACGTGAAGAAACTTTATAGACTAAACCGCGTGATCGCTTTCACATTAAAGTTATTTCAGGAGTATATCAAAATACTTCAATCGGATAAGACGTTAATATATAGATAGAACAAGTATTAGATGGTGTGTCGTATCTCAAACATACCCTGAGACTCCATATGTATAGAGCACAAATTGATCCGTCTGTTGATATAATATCACAACTTTACGCAAGACATTCGAATGTTTTGCCAGAACAATAAGCATTGTGTTTCAACAGTTTTCTGCACGAACCATCGCGTCTTATTGCGAAACATTCGAACATTTAAGAGTAAACATTTGAATGTATCTAACCGTTTATTAAGGAATATTGGAGACTAATATTACATTCAAATGTATAATTTTATACATCCGAATGTACATAATTTTGAACTCCGTATATGAAAATCCAAAGAATTTTCATAAAACAATTGTGTCTAAAATAAAAATTTTCCCAGCTGACCAGGCAGCTTGATCAACCCCAAGCACCTTGGGCCCCTCCATGGGCTACCGCCCACTAAAAAAATTGTAATATAATTGAACGGGCGTGCAACTCGTTAAGAAGGTCTATTAAAATTCTCGTCTGATATAAGTAAATCAAATTACAAAAAATAGGTAATGACACTAAAATGACCAATACGAGTGAATTCAATTCAATTGATCTTAAAATTTGTGTAGAAGTTTTCTCTAGGCCGAGTTAAATATGTTTTTAGTACTAAGGGCATGTGATCCTATAGATAGTGTTGTCGTTGCATTTCGAACTTCTGTTTCAAGAAGTTGAGCCCATTCGTGAGTGGCAAACCACTAAGGTTCGAAATCCTATTGATGTACACTTATAAGAAGTTTTATTTAGAGTGATACTCTTGATGAGTTGAACTAGTTCAGCAATAAAGAAAACTTTTGTTGTGATATTCATGAGTTGAACTAGCTAAACGATTAAATTTTATACTTGAGATGTTCTAACCAATCATCATATGGTCTAATATTGAGTGGTAGGTACACAACCCAAATCTTAATTGTGGCATTATTATTATTATTATTATTATTATTATTATTATTATTATTAATAGGTTTGAAATATAATCCCACAAGCATCATGTTCATAAATGTGCCCACCATATCAAAGTTGCAATGGCATCCTTTTACTATCACATCCAATTGTAATATGGAAGAGGACACAATGAGTGCCATTGTCAAATGTGAAGGAAGTTGGACCAAGAAGCTTTTTGATCTTATGTCTTCTCCTTCACCACTTGACTCCCTTCAAGTCTCAGTTGAAGGACCATATGGACCTGCACAAACTGATTTTCTAAGGTTATTTTTTCTCTTCAAATCTTCTCTATATTTACTTCGCTTTCCCTTCCTTTTTTGTTTGTGTACCCCCTATGGGTGAGGGAGCACGATTCCGGTTCAGAACTGTACCATAGTTGGAACTTGAACTCATAAATTGGATATTTGAAATTGGAAAATGGAAGATGTGGTTCCGGTTCTTATACTTTTAGAACTGGAACTGGTGGTTCCAATTCCAGTTCTCAACTCTATTTACTTTAAATCTCTTATTATTAGTCAATTTGAGTTTTAGTCTCTTGAAAAGAATCTCTGTAAAGATATTTTCTTCGGACTCTGCTTTTGGTGAGATTTTACTACGTTTTTTGTCGCTTCTGTACTGTGTCTTATGAATGCAGGCATGATGTGTTAGTGATGATAAGTGGAGGAAGTGGGATAACCCCTTTCATATCCATCATCAAAGAAGTCATTATATCCTCATCTCAAAACCAAAAAAACCTCAAACTCATACTCATAGCCATCTTCAAAAACTCATCACATCTCTCCACATTGGACCTTCTCCTCCCCCTCTCAACCACAACTCCTCCAACCATTCCCAACCATCTTGACATCCAAATTGAGGCCTACATAACTAGAGAAACCAAGCCAACAACCGTGCAAAAACCCGAACCGGTTCGGACGGTTTGGTTCAAACCCAGAGGCTCAGACACGCCAATATCGCCCGTCTTGGGCCCACACGGGTGGCTCTGGCTAGCGGCGATCATCTCGGCTTCGTTCCTCGTCTACCTTCTCCTCGTCGGAGTACTTTACCAGTACTACGTGTACCCCATGGACCATGGGACCAACCTGGTTTTCCCATACCACACAAGGGCATTGCTGAACTTGTTGTTCATGTGCTTTGGCATTGGTGTCTCGGCCAGTGCAGCTTTCTTGTGGAACAAGAAGAAGATGGCTATGGAGGCTAATAAGAAGATTCTAGAAACTGGAGATTCCTCATCTTTAGGCTCTGGCCATGACGATCATCAAGAACTGGAAAGCTTTCCTGCTCAATCTCTCAACAAGATGATTAACACTCATTACTGCACAAGACCTGACCTCAAGAGTACGTCTCAAAAAAATCTCTACAATTACTATTCATACAGTCAAACTATATCACATTTATTTGCTAATAAAAATGTACTCCCTCCATCCCAAAATGTTTTATACTTTACGCAAAACAAAATTTCAAGTTTTTAAAAATTCATTCTATTTAAAGATTAGTTTAGAAATTAAAAATAAGACTTACATGCTTAAAAGTTACGTCAAAAAAATCTACAAAACAAGAGGTAACAAAGAGATTTTATTTTATCAAATAATCAATCAAAACGCACAAATAAACAAAAGTTTTCCTAACTTTTGAATAGTGAAATGTAATTCTTTTTTGGACGGAGAGAATGGAAAATTTAAATTTTATTACTACACCAATTTAAAAAGAAATTGAATAAAAAATGATTTTAACCAAACATTGTCAAGTTGACAAGTTCTTTTTTGAACGGAGGGATTATATATATATGCACTCGTCATTTTTTCATTTCATCGTACGTATGCATGCATGGCAACGTACACTCTTACTCCGTACATGCATACGTACTGCATACGTACAAGTGCATGTGTATAATACTCCCATTGTCACAAAGCAAATTTGACATTTTTTCTCTCGTCTCAAAATAAATTTCACATATTCCTTGAGTAAAATGTGAAGGTGATCTCTTTTGGGTCTTAAATTTGTTTATATTAATTGGGTATGTATATATACATAAATAAAATGCATGCAGGAATTATAACGGAAATAAAAGGGTCGAGTGTGGGAGTGCTTGCCTCCGGACCCAAGACTCTGAGGCACGATGTTGCCGCCATTTGTTCTTCTGGCCTTCTCAGTGACGTCACCTTTGAGTCAAATAGTTTCAACTGGTGATTGATTGGTTAGGGTATTAAATATTATTAGTGTGTGTATTTATATTTTTGTTTCTTAATAATTTAAAGTACACACACATTTCATTCTCTAAACGTGGAGCATTGTGTATAAATATATATATTTGTGGGTGGAAAATAATGACACTACTAGATGTCCGTAATGTGATCTCATCTGTTGGCCAACACTTCAAGAAAATGTGATGTGGCACTAGGACAGCAATGAAAATTTCGAGTTTAGTTGATTTTGCGGTCAAAAATTTTGACTTAAAGTCAACTAAACTTGCCAATTGATTTCATGGGTTGGGATCGGGAATGTGTGGGGGATTTGTCGAAGGAATTAGGGGGTCAGAACTATCAATTTTACAAACGAAACATAGTGTCCTAATTAAATAGATCCTTTTGTCACTCATTTTGAATGGCCACTGAACCTCGCCAATGAAAATTGGCTGTTTGCCATTTCACATTCTCACTTACGTGAAGTGTGGGTTCCGCGCACAGGACCCACACCCCCATGTGAGTAAGGTTGTGACGGCTGAAGGATGAATCTCATCCTGGATCCTGACAGGCACAGATATAACATTAGAATGAGATAAATTGAACTTTAATCAAGTGAAATTTACCACAAGTACGTGAAAGAGCATCATGCTACGCATCGTTATCTTTCATCATTCTTTCCGAGAATTAAACCTTTACATTACTCTTTTCGCACCTGTATTGATCAACTAAGCTATATACCCCTTAGTGTGGTTGTGATTGCTAGTAACTCAGGTTGTGCCCCCAGGCCATTCATTCTTCTCTCATGGAATTTCAATTCATCATATATTCATTTCATCGTAACAAAACGAACCGTAAATTTTGTTCAAAAGAAGAAATCCAAGATATCCAGGATTACAACACATGAATATCTTTTAAAAAATGGATGCAGTAAGGTTAAAATGCAGTAATGTTCACTTACCACAATGGGCAGAAGCTGAATGACAATGTCTTGGCCCTTGTGTATAAGCCAATGCAAAAACTTTGTCAAAAACAAAAGTGTAAACTGTAACTTTACAAATAATGACTCAAACCACAAGTGACAAACCATGACAGGAATAAAAAATGATTGGGAAGGAAAAGATTTGAAAAAAACAGCAACACTACGCCTATCTACAAATTAAATTATTTCTGCAAAAAAAAAATGTGAATTATAAACATAAACCTCACATCATATTTCCTATTATGTTTAATGTGTTTCTCTCGTGTCACACTCCGGGTTTGTATATCAGCATTTTGGCCACCAACACGCTGCTAAAAGCAGTGTTTCACATTTTAAAGTTTTTGCATTCCGTGACCAAACACTATAATGCAAACAAAGCCAATGGCTACTTTACAGCAGATCTAGAGTACAACCTGTTCATGGTAGAAAGACAATGATCTGGATCTTAAGAGAAATAAGGCTTTTTCCGCATCTGTACGGCTCATATATTTTCTGAATTAGAGGTATATGAAAGCTTCTCCTCCAAGGATGCTAGCAAATCATGGTATTCAGTAAATGCCGGGTGTGACTGCATATATTGAAACTTCACTCAGGTGTGTAAAGTGGGATTGTACTACTCCCTCCGTCCCAAAATGATTTACCTCTTTACTATTACAGCTTCTCGATAACTTTTGTTAGTTTGCCTATTTTCATTGACCATTTGATAAAATAAAATATTCTTGTCACCTCTTGCTTTGTAGAACTTTTGATATTGTTTTTTAATATATAATTTTTATTTTTTATTTTTATACCAATTTGTAAATAAAATCATTTTAAAAGTCACGGGATTTTACACGTTAAACGGAAAGTGTAAATCATTTAGGGACGGAGGGAGTACAAAAATAAGCATATAAAAAATACCTGCAATGTAATGTTATATGCCTCCCATAAACGCAAATCATGTCGAAAGAGATCAAACAAAACCTGAGCAAAGTGCAGAAAAGAACGGTGTCAATCACAATAGCAAAATTTACTACTATAGATTACTCTCTCCATCCCATATTTATCTTCTTTCCTATTTGGATTGTCCCAAAATTTTCTTCCACTTTCTTTTTAAGGAAAAGATTGTGGTCCATATTATTTCTTTTTTCCTCTATACAAGCCCCCAGACCATACTCTCGTGGGATTCAACTGGGTTGTTGTTTCCTCTATACAAGCCACAACCACAGTACCAAGCATGTTCTACTTTATTGAAAATCGTGTCAAACCCATTCAAGAAGATAATTATGGGACAGAGGGAGTATTCAATTAATGTGTTTGGGTGAGATGGGTCATAGGGAGTTCACTGTAATTAAACTTAGTTGACATATTAGAATATACAGTTATCCATTTATATGAAAAGTTAGTAACACCTCAGATCTCCTCAATAGTGTGGCCAGGACAACGATCCATTCTTTGAATTTGACAGAGCACATCTGAGCCAAAAGGAATTCTGCATCCAATCGACTTTGCAGTGTCCCCATTTGAAGCTGGGTGATCGAAAAAAACCAGCAAATCAATCATATGTGTTCAATCTTGAGAATAAGGTTTCATTCCGGAACAAATACTGTAATTAGCGATAGCGTTCTAATTTTTTAATGGTGCATATTAGTTTTGAAAATGCCAACGCTAATAGCTACCTTTGGCTAGTCCAAAATGCCAAAGCTATAGGCTAAAACTCATGCAAACGGAACCTAAACCTATTCTTTATGATGAGTAAATTTTAAAGTTTAAAATTCAACTAAACACTTCTGTTCATGACAGACAAGCTGCATCGTGAATTATTATGACCACTGTACTCTAGAGAAAGTGCTTGCACCTTCTGTCCAATGAGTTCAAATGCCAAGGCAAAATTCTCTAAGCGAGCAGATCCATATCTCTCTCGCCGCAAATAGTCCTGCATAAGAGTTTATTTTGTGCTCAAAATTACAGTTACAGCACACGTCGTGCATATCAAAAGCAAAAAAGGTGCAAAACTATCATACCACAAGGTCAAATTGTGTGCCTTTTGCAAATGCAACAAGCTTCGAGAGTTCCTTCCCAGACATCAAAAGGCTTGCATGACTCTCTAAAATATTCTTAACAGAAGCAACATGTGCATTTTGTTCCTTGAATGAGCTGCTAGACATAAGATTTGTTGATATTAACAAGATTAAGTGCACAGCAGATGAAAGCCTGATGGCATCAGGACTCTATTGAAGACCAACATTAATGACATCAAATAGTATAATATATACAGGGGCACTTACCCTTTTGGGTCAAAAGATTGCCTCTGATAACTTGAAGGAAACAGAAAATATCCAAAGAATCGAGGAGATAACTTCTCAGAATTCACAGTTGTAGGTTCATATTCTCTTCCAGATCTGAGAAGAAACCTCACCTGAGAAAGATTTTAATGTGATGTAATCCATTTCCCAAAATCTAATAATCTTTTCAAAAGCATATAATAATGCAATGTAAACTTTAAAGTCCATACCAGCTCCCCGGCCAGCTCATACAAGGACTCATCAAGTGTTGCCTGACGAATGAAGAAACCTTGTCAGAGTGGGATATGTGAGACAGAGTATTTTTTTGCTTCACTCAAAAGTCAAACATAAAACCAAAATCCATAAAGAGTACTCCACCGTCCCAATGTATTCGTCTAGTATTCCTTTTTGGACCATCCCATCGTATTTGTGCACTTTCCTTTTGGAGTAATTTTTGGAGTGCTTTATTGACTCCGTCAACTCATCTCATTAAAAAGAGAAAAATTGTAGTACCCCAATCTTTCTATCCTTCCCCTTGGTCCATGTGCCAAAGAGAATGTGGACAATACATTGGGACGGAGGGAAAGTACAAAAACGTCGACTATGGATGCAATAGAAAAAGTAAAGAGCCAGCTGGTATCTCATGGGATTTGCAGAAATGATCCCTGACACCTGTGATTCCTGTGAATATAAATATACAGCCTATCAGTAAAACATATTTACCTGCAACAAACGTAGTGCACAATATTGACTCACAGCAGGACCTTCAAGCTTTGCAATTACCTGCATCAATGGCATAATACAATTATACTGTTAGAGCACAGAATTTTCCTCAATAAATACATGTTAGTAAAATTAATATGGATGAATAAACGTATGTAGTGAAGACAGTCACCAAATCGCCCCATACAAAAAGGATAGAAACAATCAAAACTGCATGCATTTACAGAAAAGTGAAAAGATGCGAGTAATGTGTAATCAGATCAAGGGTAGCTTCAGATAAGAGAAAAGTAATGGAAGCGCTTCTTACAAGTATATAGCAAGCAGCGGTTCGGTACCATCTCCTTTGAAAGCATTCCTCAAATAACCTGAGGGCAGAAACAAGGGAAAAACACGTTTAAAAGGCAATACCTTCATGTCTGTGTTTAGATAAATTTCCAATTTATGTCAGCTAATCTCTTTTTCCTTTATCTTGTGATATAATCATCATGAAAAGGAAATGTGCAAGGTGATTTGGAGCTTTGTCAATTCAGATGGGAAGGATGGGTGTGTTTTTCCCTCCAACTTAAAGAGCATGTGTGACCATTGGAACATTGAGAAAATATCTTTCATCCTCGAAAACAAAGGGAAAAAAAAGAAGTTAATACTCAGTTGATCGCCCTGCAGCAGCGAACAAATCTGCCCAATGTCGCCCATCGGTTTTTCTTGCAACACTAACAACCACATCCCAGTACTCTGGAAAATTTCTGATCAGATCACATGTCTTATCCAGAAGAGAAGTGATGGTGCCGTGACTAGATAATGTAGTTATGTAGTTTCTTGAGCTTTTCCTGTTCAAGATAGTAATAAACATTGTAACTCTGAATGTCCATAAGTTAAATAGAACGTATATTTTCTGTTGAAGAATAAAAAGAGCATGTTCATTATCTGATGGTTACAATGCAAGTATGCAACACGCACCAAAAAGATATACCAAAAGGTACACCTATAGTACATGTCTAAGAAATACCCAGACTCAACAGTCAACACACAGAAGTAATATCAAGGGACAAGCATGCAAAAATTTGTTACTATAAGTCAATATTTGGTTATGAGAAAAGTGAAGACTCAAGTCCTGATAGGAATACAGTGGATGCAATCATGCAATACATGAAATTTAATTCATTAAGTTTCAGTAAATACTAAACAATGAAATCACTCGTCAACAAAAAAAGTTCAATTAATCAGAAGTTAAACTCAAATAAGAAAAAAAAAGGATACCACATAATAGAACCCGAGTATTATGAGGACAAAGAATAGAACAATTCAAATGCTGTTCATTTAAAATTGAAATTCCTATTTCCCAGATTATCCCAATTCCCAATGTATAAATTATACCTCTCATAGGATAATAAATGTAATCATAAAATAGATAAAGGATTTCCTACAAACTTACCCAGAAATTTCAGCCTCAAAAACTGTAAAAAGAAGCCACTCAAGGTAATGAGTAAAATGTGGTTTTCCTGCTGATAATTGAGCCAATCTTAGTGCTTGTTCATCCTTGTCTCTCTGTAAAACAATATCAAAAGCATAGTGGGGTAGCGAAGAGGCACTTATTAAATCAAAGGTCATGTTGTGTAACCATGGCGCTCCTAAACAAGACCTGATTATTACTCCATATAAACCATATTATTCTAATAATGGCACATGCAAGGGTGTGCCGGCAATGGGCCTCCCTTCTCCTCTGAGTTTGTTACACACACACAAACACATATTGGTGGGTTTTATCTCTATCCTTTTTTACTACACTACATTAATGCATATACAGAGCAATATGTATCCGTGCATATATGACGTATCATATGTTTGATAAGAATAACTCCTCTTTATGTTAATGTTATAGTTCTAGACACACAAGGCTAGACTTTTTTGTTTTTTTAAATCCTTTCAATGATATTCTTTACTTCATTCAATTGATCTGAGAGCTCAGAAGTAACATGATGTAAACATTGGTATATTTGCTTGAATTGAATTTTTGTGTTTTTACTACATTTCAACATTGTTAATCAAAAGTAGAGTTCATCCAGATCGCACGATCCTACGCTTTGTTAGAGCACTTACAATGGACTCCAAATATCCGCCGCACCGGGCTGTAGCGGAATGGCGAGCGGCGGGACAGCAATGGACGGAGAACGGCCATGGAGGCTGAAAAATTAAAAAAAACGGTGCGGCGCGGCAGACCGTTGGAATGGACGGCCGCCCATCCAAAAATGCCGGGTTTGGCGACCGGCTGGGCGCCGGGACTGCGGCAAGCGCCATGGCGCATTCTTCGCCTCTCTTCCTGCAATGGTGTAGCGGCGCGACGGGCATAGATGGTGGAGCGGCGCGGCGGATTTCATGCTCCCATTGTAAATGCTCTTAAGGGCTGAGTGAACCAAATCAATGATAGGACTGAAAATCTGTTCAGATCGACTAGTATCATTGAGACAGCGTAAAATTGCAGCCTCTACCATCCGTCTTCATCAAGTTTGTGTGAATCGTTAGTTTCACAGATCCAGTAATATGATGCAAAGAACGGGCTTTTCAACCCTAATCAACAAAGCGAGTCACAATGCATACAACATACCAGGTCTTTGTCTTCTACTCTCCTCTTTGCTTTATTCTGTCTTTGAGTCAATAGTGATCAATGTTGGGAGTTTTTCTCCTAAGCCTCTTGGATGTGCTTTCCTATTCTCATCATCGCCCAATTTTTTTTCTTTCACACACATACACTGAAGCCGAAGCCTCACAACTAGGTTTGAGAATTGCCGTCATATGGGACATTGACCAAAGTTATGATTATAGCATCGAAATATGAATGACTCCTTGTCACTATGAATTTTAAATTTAAGTTGTTTTACAGAGAAATATTTTCTAAACTTTACATGTTAACTAGCAGCTAGGATCTTACAATCTGAGTTGTGATCCACGAGTTTTCAAACTCCTTCCAAACCTAGCTATATCTCGAGTTTGAAAGCCTTGCAACATTCTATGCATTTAAGAGCAATGTGTGTGCATATATGACATACTTGAAAAGATTAAAGTAGCAGTTTTTCTTTCAAAATTTTATCTTCATGAATTTTCTTATATTGATGTTGTTGTGGTAGATAAATAAGTATAGATAAATGTTTTTATATATGAGTGAACTTATTCTAACAACATTTTTTATACAACAATTCTTACAAGTTACAACATTCATATCTTGCAAATGGATTATGATTTCGTTAAACCCACCCTAGGATAGATCATCATCCTAAAAATTCACAAAAATCCAAGGTCGTTTTGTACAAAATCAGCCAACAGCCCAACACATATTTTAACATGTTTGAAGCCTATTTATTGCATTAAATTTTGCTCGATTTTGATTTCATACGAAACGACCTCAATGATAACTTTCTACACTATCCAATGGTGGGTTTCACTCTTTATATATTAATCAATGATAACTTTCTACACCATCCAACATTTATCAATTAGACTGACAGTGAATAAAAACAAAATGATATGACATACAACATTGGCATATTTTCTTGTGAAGTTATTGAATGAACATTTTATGCAATGAAAACTTATGAACATTTCACTTCGAAGCTATTTGGGTGCCGATAACTTTAATAAGCATACTTGTGTCTTGAATTATTAGGGACATAGGTTTTCTTTCAATAATTTTTCATGCACTTTTCCACAATGGTCATACAACATCGTTACGAGTGCATATTCATATTTTTAGAAAGGATGGAGTACATTGGGCCCTAAAGCTAAAATGTGACTGGTAGAGTTGTATGTTTTTTTAATATTGCCTTAAGTACCCATATCATTCTATTTATGGAGTACATTGCGCACAACACAATGGACAAACACAGGGTTCTATAATTGAATATTTTCCCCTAAAACAACTTTCTATGTGCGCCACTAGGACATGCCTCTTATACTCCACTTTAGCACACCAACTAAAGAGAATTAATTACAGAAATAACTGCAAGCTTAAGTACACTAAGGGCCCACTGAATGGCACTTAATGTCAGTTCTATTTACTTCAATTCACATCAGTTCAGTTCAGCACCTATAAGTTTAGTGTAGTTCACTACCTATAAGTTCATTTCCATTCACTTAGCTCAATCTTAATAGTATAATTATATTAATATAAATAGTTATATCAATATATATATATGTATATATGAATAAAAATAGTAATATTGAAAATTATTCTCTGTATTAATAACTCACATAATTATATATTAAAAGAGTATATTTAATAACTTTGAGCATTTCCTTTTACCATTTTCATTACTCGGTTGATAAATAATACTCCCTCCGTCCTGATGTATGTGTCCAGTTTGACTTTTTCGAATCAAACTGGACAAACTTTGAGCTTCAATTAAATAAAAACCGTAATGTATTTTAACATAAAAATGACTTCATTGGATTTATCGTACTGAAAACTTTCAAAATTGAATTTCATTATGCTAATATGCAATATAAATTGAGCGTAATTGGAGTTCAAAGTTTGTCCAGTTTGACTCGAAAAAGTCAAACTGGACAAATACACTGGGACGGAGGTAGTAGTATTGTCGCCTCTTTTTTGTAGAACTTTGTATGTAGCTCTTAAATATATAAGTTTTATTTTAAAATTTTGCTCCAACTTGTATATGAATTGAATTGAAAGTAACTTCAATCTGGCATCTTAGCCCACAACATGAAAGTCTTTTAGGGACAGAGGGAGTATTAGTTAAGTACATATAAGTTCTTTTTAAGTCAGTATCTATAAGTTATGTTCAGATCAATTTAGTACCTAGTTCAGATCAGTTCAGTACCTATAAGTTTGGTTCAATTAAGCTCAGTTCTATTCAATTCAGTTCACATGAGCTCTACCAATCAGCCCCTAACTAAACATTACTATTCTATAATTTCTACTCCATATGAACAATTACAAAGGGAGTTGAAAGGTTGGAACATTAACAACGTTTCTCAAGAATGTTGTCTTGGGAATACATTAATAGTAAAAGAAAAAAATTGATCTAATTAAATACCCCTTTTGACAATTTTATCAAGCACGCAGGGTCAGGCACATTAGACTCATCAGCACAAAACCATGGAAATTTTATAGTGAGTTGGAATCCCATATATATCCCAACTTAAAAAATCCATGACTGATAAAGCATCTACTAATGAAAATTTGAGGGAGTAGGGAGTAATAGACTACTAGTCACAAATGACTACTTAAAAGTATCCTAACTTAAAAATCCATGACGCTAAAGCATCAACTAAAAAAATGCTTTGTTTAGATTATAGTTTAATCCTATTTGGATTTGATGTGCTAATTTTTGTGTATACTATTCTGTTGAGCACATTTTGTCCTAGGTGGACATGCAAAACTAGTCTGCAGGGGAAGTTAATCACTTTTCCCATGATCCTCATTGTACCAGAGTCAGATGATTCCTCTCTGTATGTTTTAAGTAAAGAACCTCATCTCATAACAAAGCTAAAATGAGTTTTTTGGTGACTAGAAGCTACCTGCAAAAGATGCCTTAGCAGGCAATGCAATATAGTCTGAGCTTGGGGGGATGGCTCAAAACAAGGAAACTCCGTGCTCGCAGAAAATGACATTCTCTGGGAAACGCCAACCACAACTCCAGCATGCGGCAGCAGACCAAGAGGATAAACCTCGCGATCAAACTCCAATTCAGGGTCCAACTAAAAGTTGGTATCAAAGTATCAGCACGCATAATTAAATATTAAATATTTACAAGGGAGCTCTTTTTATGAGTGTGTAAGAGTGTGTGGGTGAGCGAATGAATTGAAGAGAGACTGAGAGAGAGAGAGAGAGAGAGACCATCCAAATTCCAATAAAGTCAGTATGACACCATGCACAAATAGTGATATAGGAACAGGTATAGCAAGAAAAGTATTTTTCATCCAAAGCATATAACTAGAAAGAAAGCACTTGAGTACCTGCAAGAAGTCTTCTTGCTTAAAAGAGTTGAGACCTGGAGATGGATACCAAACCTGTAATCATGAGCTTTCAACCAGTATATAAATGAGACTTATATGGTGGAAGGCTAAGATTCATCAAGAAAAGTTAAATGCTAAAGAAATCGGTAACCTGCATTCCTCGGTGGCCATAGTCCAGCCATGAAACTTCCTCAATCAGGGTAGTTTTCTCCTCTGATTGACCGCATGTAACCCAGAACAACTCCACTGAGTCAGTGAGCTCTCTTTCCCTCCCCTCATCCAAATCAAGAAGTGAAAGCTCTCCATTTGTCCTTAGAATCAAGCATCTAGAAGAAAAAGAATAGGTATTCATGCACTGCAACTGAAAACTCATCTGTCTAGTGTCTACTGATTACTGAGAGTAATCAAATACCTAGCAGGCTCTCTCACTAATTTGTCAGGTGATGATATAGCATTGTCTGTTAAAGTTTTCCTAGGAAGCTGTTCGGGTAAGAAATGCATTGCTGCAGGGTGGCACTTTGCAGTCATGATTGAAAGCTCTCGGACTGTAGAAAGCTGTTTGTCATTTTATTACTTGAGAGGGACAAAGAATAATTTTAAAGACAATGCTACCATAAACAATATTTTTAATGAAGATTTTAAATGCCAAATCATTTTACAAGCTTGAATACCATTTGAAAATCAACAAGCCAGTGTTACCTGTAAATCTGGAGAACTTAAAGGGGTCAATTCACCAAACAGTTTCACATGATAAATGTGGACATCAAAAGGGCAGTAAGTGACAAGTATATATTCTTGATAAATATCCATCACCATTGGTTTTGCCAGCAGAGGTTTCCGACAAAGAAGTGAACTCTTGTCCAGGTGGTACCTTGGGTAAAAAAGCAGCTCATACCTGCAATTTGATATTACAACTTACAAGTGTAATGATGAGTATTCTTAACTATTGAGATATCAAGAATTATTAAAATAAGTTATTGGTTAGCTAAGCCAGGGATGGTCTTCACTCTTCAGACACAGTCTACCTCTTTTGGGTAGGGGTAAGGTCTACATGCACCAACCCCACTAGTGAGATTTTACTGGGTAGGTTAGTGGCTAAGTTAATAGCAAGAAGTTTGGGTAGGAAGTGTAGCTAAGCTAAAAGTTCATGCATATATAGCTGATAATTATTCCTATTTTACTTGGTGTCAGAGCCACAACCTTTGGCCTGGTTTTGCATTCACTCTTGTGACATGAACACTACACTTCATGTCATTCATCAAAACACTGGATCACAAATAATCCATTGTAGAATCTTTTTAATAAATTGAAGCTTCCAACAAACTATGTTGTGCCCGTGATGCTCACCAACTTGGGCCCCTTTGATAATAAGGTGAGATTGAAAAAATTGTGTGAAGCACTTGTTGCAGTTGTGAAATAGGTAGCTTAAGTTGTGAAATTAAGAGTGATTGTGAGTCATAGCTTATTTGGCTCAATACAGTTGAAGTGTTGGGATTGAAATATTTTAGAATATTTTAATTAAAGACTATATAAGAAATTGACAAATATACTCCCTTCGTCCCACTATTTTTACGGCATGAGGGAGTGGCATGAAGATAAAGATTTTCTGGTTGATATTGATGTCAAAAAGTCAGATAATGTAAGAATGAATGTGAATCACACAAATAAGACCGAATATGGTATGAGACAAGAAATAGTTGGATGGACAAAAAAAGGTAAAAAAAGAACAAAAAAAATTACACTGAGGGACTAGTTACAAACGAAACGAAACTAATGGTTTAATAACAACAAATGGTCCAAGTAAAAAAACAACTTGCTTTAACTTGGCCCGCTAATATTAAGAAAATGAAATTCTTGGTTGAAGTTTATTCTGAAAGGAGAAAAAAATATCAACCCAAGAATCTTTTTTGAAAGAAACTATGCATATTTGGGAAAGCTAAAAAAGGAGTTCGGAGAGAAATTGGTTAGTTAATGAAAAACAAGTGTTTGCATTGATGATGTTTTCCAAAGGGGCTCTTGGCCCCGTCAAAGTTGTCATTTCTATTGTTGCCTGCTTGCAACTGCTTTCAAACTGATTTCACCAGCTATCCCATCTAGCTCATTCTTTTGACCCTTCTTGGTCTTAATCATAAGGTGCTTCAATTTATTCCAACAATGAGGTCTCCCAATGAGACTTTTGTTACGATTGAGTACATATGTGACAAGCTTGGATATTATGACAATCATGCTCTAATTTGGGGTATAGTGTTGAGAAATAAAAGCTAGCAGCAGGTTAGTTGGTGGTCAGTTGCAGCCTTGAAGGTAAGAGGCAAATGCTAAAAACCCACATTATATAATTGTTCCTTGTATTAATCAAAGATAGAATAAACATAATACTTTCTATCCCATTAAACATAACAAACTCAGAAAACTGCAGTTATCTTTTGCAACTCCTAAGAAACTACTACGTACAAATACAAAGATTCCTAGATTTCCTTAGCTACTATAGGAAGATATGAAGGGGTGGATCAAGTTGTTGAAAGACGTATTGGCCAGTGACATGGCACTTTATATGTTCAGAGACAAGATCCGGATACCACTTGAACATTTTCCAAATATTAACTTCAAAGTTCAAACACATACTTACCCAATGGAAGAATCATCATAGCTAACTTCAATCACATATACTTACCCATTGGAAGAATCATCATAGTTGCAAACAACAACAATTTTCCCCATCCATAACAAGCCCCTACACTGAATATGTTGCTCTTGGCTAATATCTCCAAAAAACCGCCATTTTTTATGACATATATCATATAAGATCAACCCATGAAGGCCAGCAATTGCCAAGTACATCCCATCTTTGCTAGCAGCCACATGTAAAATGGGCCAATTCTGAGAAATATATGAAACCTGATATTTAAACATAATATATCAGAAACGTATCATTCGAGAAAATGAATAAGGAAAATGAGAACATGATGCTTTTAAGAAAATGTAATCCTCAGTATGTCCGGCACATACTGGAAGGTTAATATGCAAGATTCTAAGTTCATTTGTATCTTCTGACTGGACAACAAGCAACCTATCTTCACCATATATAACTTGTCGAGCATAAGTTGTCCCAGAAACTCCTCTGTTGAGACAGCACTTTCCAAAAGAAAATGCAATAACTCTCTCTGAAGAACCTTCCTCAACAGCATAAAGCCTATAACCATGTTCATCCCAGTGCACCAGTGAGGTGCCAGTCATCATAGGTTCATATTTACATTCCTGGTTAGGTTTAATTGCAGGGGAAGATATTGAATTTAATCCAGCTTGGCGGGTTGTACACATCAATCGACAACCAGAAACTGACCAAACAGCAAGCCCTCTTAACTTCCACCCAACTGCAAAAGCAGAATTGTCAGCGGTCCAAGCAATACAATTCACAGCACCAGTATCTTCAACGGAATATCTGCAAATTGAAACCCAGAAAAAATATCAAAATAATTATTCATGATTTCCTTCAAAAAAGATGCAGTTTCATTCTGCCCAAGTGCAAAAGAGTATATAACCAGCATAAAATTACAATACTACAAAGAACATATAAAGGTGTGGAGATTTTACTCGTAGGATTTTACCGGGCATGTTGTTGTTGTTGCTGTTGTTGTTGTACAAAGAGCATATAAAACTATTAAGCCTAAAAATTGTACAAAGCACTATCTGGAGATGCTGTAATAGAAGAACTATGTGTTAGGTCATCCTCTATACCGCCTCTCCCACCATTAAATATTTAGTATATCTTTCTCTAATAGCTTCTTCAAGTTCAAAACTGCTAGTCATCCATTCTCGAATGACTGCCAATGTTAAGGTGAATTTATGTAAAATTAAATGTGTAATACTATCACATCCACTTGCAGATCTCCATATCTTACACATACGGTAGCATAGAGGCTTACCCCCAGTCATACAAAGAAATAGAACGTATCAGTGAAGTGGATTCTGCAAGATCATACAGCTCAACAACTCCTCTTTTGCAACCAACAGCAAGAATTTGTTGTTCTGAAGCAACAGAGGTACAAACAGCATCACCAGAGCCCAATCTCTTTTCAGCTTTGACATGCTCGGCCAGTCTAAAGCCCTTCTTGCTTACAGAACATACGATGAGTTGCCCGTCAGAAAATAGAGCAAACAGCAACCTTAAGGGTTGGGAATATTCCAGGTGGGATACAGCGGATGGTTGAGACTTGCAAATACTAGGAACATTATCAATTTCTGCTCCAGTTGAAGCAAAATCATTTTCCATGTTATTTGAATGTTTGGTAGCCCCACTACCGTCGCAAAACTGAACATCAATGTTAAAGGCTCCACAAAACTGTTTCGATAATAATCAGTATAATGACAATATATTAGTGCACAAAATATTCAAAGCGCTTAATAGGCTCAACTGAAAAGGCCAAAAAGAGTTAAATAGTTACACTCCAGCATTACATTATAATATTAAACATGCTTCTAAAGATTGATAGAATCACTTCTTAACTCTTAAGCATGGAAATTATTGACACATCTCAACATTAATTTTATTACCTCACCCTTCCAGGAAATATTGTACAATGAACCATTAGAGAGTCCAACAAGCATATGTTTGTTATCAGAGACAATATTGCTCCTGCCAAACAAATCAGCAAAGGAGAGCCATAATCAGGACACTATCACGGACCAACCTAAAACAAGAAATATAACACAAAAGCAAGTCAAATTCTCATGGGCATCCAATTGTTCTTCTACTCATGATCTAACTACAATAAACAATGCACCAAGCAGAAGCATATAAATTCTAATGGTTTCCAAAACTTGATGCTCTGTATTAAGTTCCATATTTTGTATTTCCTTCTAAAAATTATTTAAGCATAAAGCATATCCTATTACGTCAGGAATATGAGAATTTTCTACCGTCTCGGCATGAAAAATCAAAACCTAAATATGGTAATGAAATCACTTACACTGTCAAATTCTCGTGAGCAAATGGCACCTGCTCGTTAAGAAGTAAACCTATGTTTGCTAGAAACAAACCAGATGGTTGTTTCCCTCCAATTTGTATCTTCTTTTCTGTAAACTGAACCTTAAATATTTGGAGATGCAAAGAAGAGGTCTGATAAAGAGCAAAAGGATATCAAGTCAGCTAACGTTTACCAAATTTAGTATGAATTTACTCAATTTATTTCGCAATAAATCAAACTGATGGAAATACGGTTGAAATGAATTCATTTTAGTGTCCTTTTAGATATCAAACAGTTTGCAAGCGCCCTTGTCATCAAAAAGACAGATTCTCCCATGAAAAGAAAATAACAAGCAAGAAACGGTCATTCAGAAAAACTAAATTTGATGGCCTGCTAAGTTCCAGTCTCTCATAAAACTACTACCAAGCAATCCCCCTGCCCGAACTAAATAGATATGAGGGTAACTGCACATTGCAGCTCCTTCAAAGATAATGACTGCCAAAACAGTATTATAGAGAAAATTGTAGGGGAGTCTACACTCTACTAAAAGCTCGTTTACAGCCCCCAGAAACAACACAGAACAGTGCTTTAACTAAAGTTAAACTTACGAGAACAGCAACCAATTTGGTATCAGGGCTCCAAACAGCCTGAATATTCTCTCCTTCACTGCGAATTGAATCTGAACTTCTCTTGTGCTTCGCCAATCTCACCCTATGCTGAAAGAGAATCCAGATTGAACGGCGTGAGTACAAATTACTATCCAACATTTGCACATGGATCAATCAATGACGATAAATGCCGTTCATATATATAACCTGAGAAGAAGACCAGAGCTCGATGTGAATTGGCGAAACCACAAGCAATAAGCCATTGGTGACCTTGAGGTACACAATTTGCTGAGAAGACGGGCATGAACCGGGCATCAGAGGGATTACCTGCGGCCATCCGTATGCCATGTACATCTTGGATCGATGTGTGAGCTTCGAATATCAAGATCAATGGCAGACGGAGACCATGGGGGTGAAAAGAAACCGGCACTAGGGTCTTGCCGGGAGATCCGAAATGGACTTTGATGATTCTGCTGCGCCGGGAGTGAATGAAAGAAACCCAATCTTTCAGGTGGTTGGGGGTGGATCTGCAATTGTTTGCGGTACTCTTTTTTTACTCCTTATTTCTCACTGCTGCCTTCTAACTTCATACTCCTAATTAGAGTTTACCCTTTATTTTTTGATGAATTTTGAGTGTGGTAAAGTTATTTAAGTTAGACAGATGTTACCCAATGTTTAGGTGATAACAAGATTTTTTCAAGTTCGTAGACTAGATTAAAAAACCTTTTATAATACTTCGTGAGCTAAGGAAACAATTTTATTAAAATTTAATTTTCTCAATTCTTGTGGGATTGCACCAAAAATTCCGGTTCCTTTTGGATTTCCCTCTTTATCAATAATAACTGCGGCATTATCATTAATCGGTAAGTACTGAACCATTAAGAGGTTGAACCATTAAGTGCTGAACCAGTAAGAGGTCTGAACCATTAAGAGCTAGTATATTGCTTAACTATTTAGAGGCAAATGTCTGATCAATTCAGATAAGAGGTCTTAACCATTCAGACTCTGTATAATACTTAACCATTCAGAGGCAAATCTCTTAACCATTCAGACATCTGAACCATTATGAGGCTGAAACAAACAGTCTGAACCATTAAATGTTGAACCATTCAGACAACTGAATCATTAAGATACTGAAACAAACAGCCCCTAAGTATATGGTACAACCGACTTCAAAAAAAAGTATATGGTACATCTGGGTAATACTCATTCTGAAGTAAAATAGTACTCATTCTCGCACAAACATAATAGTTTATTTGAAATAGTGTGGTACTCATTCTGGAATAACAGAGTACTCATTTTGAAATACGTAGTACTCATTTGCACAAATTTGTACAATATTCATTTATGAATAACGTAATACTTATTCTAAAACCTAGTAGTATTCGTTCTCAAATAATTTAGTGCTCATTCTTAAACAATATACCATACATAAAAATCCAAAATCTGACTAAAGACCAAATTGGAACTAGAACAGATTTAAAACTAGAGCTTTGCCTACCAATCAGATCTGGAATCGCGGATCGGGAGAGCCTTCTTCATCGCCGATCGATTTTGCAGATCTTCCTTCTTCATCCCGATCGATTTTGCTCTCGCAGATCTCCTTCTTCATCACCTCAGATCGATTTCGCCTTCGACAGCTCTCCTTTGATGCAGCTTCCTTCCTCCGACCCGACCCGATTAGGAGCACCTCTTTTCTCCTCCGGTCGACGTCTTTTCTTCTTTAATTTGCGAGTTGTACCCAATTTTGGGTACAGCCGGTTGTATGGTATAATTTGCGTTATTGCACCAATGCTTGATTGGGTAAATGTGTATTATTATCTCTTATTATTTTTGAAAAAAAAGAGACTAAAGTAGAAATAAAACATTGAAAATATATCAAAATAGAAGTTTCATGTTTATATTCTCGAAACGAAAGTTAATACATTTACAGTGCCAATTATGACCATGTATATTATCAAAATGTATTATGAAATGTTTATATACAGGGTCACATTGCCCCATTCAAAACTCTTATATTCTGGGGATAAAAATATGAACCTTCTATTTTGGTATTTTCTCTGTGTTTTACTCCTATTTAGAGTAATTCCTTTTAAAGGTTCTAATATTCATACGCAAATACCCTCCTAGATAAATAGTTGTGGACCCCGATGCCCGCTCTTTTTTCTACTTTATTGTTTATCTTTTTTCTTCTATTTTTTCATAAATGTTTTATAAATTCATTTTTTATAGTTTTTTGAAAAATTAAAAGTTTTATGTTTGAAATAAAAATAAACTCAATGAAATAAAAAGAATTAATGTAAACATCATTTGCCTGAAATTAACATTTTTATTTTTAGTCCAAAAAAATCTTTATTTTTTTAATCCATTGGGCCAAAATATACATAGTAAAGACATATTCAGGAATTCATTTTTCACTTTTGTATAAAAGTATTTTTTTCATATCTTTTTCTTATTTTCATTTTCCTTTTCTATTATTTTTAGTTTCTTATTTTCTATTTATCATTTTCTTGTATTTTAGTCAAAATAAAAGTAAAAAACAATAAAATAAAATAAAATAAAATATAAAAATATACATAAAAATAGCTTTATAAAGAATAGAAAATGAAGTCATTAAGAAAATTTGTTGGAAATCACTCTAAAAAAGATCTAAGAGCATCTCCAATGCATTGGGTATATGGTAAAATATACACTTTTTACACTTTATTTTTCATTTTATCTCACTCCAATGGATAGTGTAAATGTGATGATAAAATGCACTATAGTGCAAAAAGCAACTCACACCTTCTATTTCTACAAGTTACTGTAGATAGGGAAAATGGTTTCTAAAATTATTCTGTGGCCCTTTTTTATCTCTCGTCACTCTCTCCCCCTCCTCTCTTTATCATTTCTGCTGTCTTCTTCAATCCAAAATCACCGGTGCTGCTATGCTCATTCCCTTTCTCAGGTAAAATGCTGGAATTTATATTAATTGTGTTGATGGCTAGTTATTTTATCCTTTTATGTGGATAGATATCTTATCCAATGTTGAGAGAAAATCTTTCTAAAATGAAAATCCTACTACTTCTAAATATTTGTACAGTTTTGATTTAAGATCAAAGTTTACCAATTTTACCAAAAAAATTAAAAATGAACAACTAATTATTTAGATATTTACTTTTAAATAATATTGTGAAATTTTTAACAATAGATTAATTAGATTATACAAAAAAAATTGATTCGATTTTGCACATAATAAAGGTGATTATAAAAATAAAATGCTCTAATTATTATGCATAACTAACTCAAAATAATAAAATATTACAAAAGTGTATAATATAAAAGATATGGTTGGAGTAAGTATAAAAAAGTAGATGTGTAAAACACTATTGATAGTGTAAAATTGCATTTACACTACCAATTTTTACACTATCCCTTGAAGATGCTCTAAGTTTGTATTCTTTTAGTCCAATAGATTCAAAAAAATAAGAACATTTTTAGATAAAAATCAAAATGTTTAGTTTGAGGCAAATGAAGTATATGTTTATTTTTGTATTTTATAATTTATTTGAAACATAAACTACATTTATTTTTGAAAATGTGATAAAAATAGTTTTAAAATATAACTTTAAAACATTTTTGAAAAAAAGAGTAGAAAAAGAAAATTAATAAAGAAGAAAAGGAGGGGCGTTGATGTCCATTTTCTAAAACCACAGAGCTATTTACCTAGATTTAAAAGGGTACTAGTCTAAACGGGCATTCACGTACGAATATCAAAATCATGGGGAGCAACGGTGTAAATTTTGTAAGCGTTAGGGGTAACGATTCACATTTACCAAACTGCAAGAGGTATTGGTGTCATAAACTCCTCCAAATTATTAGAGGTGGAAAAAAACAAACTAGCATGATAACATACTGAATCATGATAATGTCAAATTGTTTATTTTTTTTAAATAAATTTGTTTTCTTCATCTCGCACTACTACTAAAACGACCGAATAAATCCCCTCATTTGCATCGATAAGCAAAACAAATGATTTAAATGGCAAAAAAAATCGCGTATCGCTTAGCATTTGAATTGGTTATTCCTAATAACTGTTGGAAACAATCTTTTATTATAACTGGAAAATTACTCAAAACCAATTACAATAAACTTTCATATGTTTCTCATATCATAACCCAAACTTGGCTAAGATATATATAGAACTAATTATGTAACGCCCCAAAAATAGGCCTATCAGAGTTAATTAATCTATAATTAATTAATTACTGAGAAGGTTCCAAAAATAAGTAAATTCTAAAGTTTATCAATAAATAATGAAAATTATATCAATGTGTAGAGTTTGACTGTCTGACCCCAACGGTTCAATCGGATTTCAATTTGGAAAAAGTTGGAACAAAAAGTGTACCCCAACTGGGACCAAAATTAGTCCCAATCAGTGACTACACACCAAACGGCGCGCTGTTCAATTACGCCGATTCCAAATTCGTCGCTCAATCACGGAAGCTGCAAACCTGTGTCTTCTTCTTCTTCCCTCGGCTATTTAAGAACAACCCAACTCCCTCATTTCATCACCAAAACAACTCATTCTTCCTTCTATATTGTTCCTTGCTGAGAGTAGAGTCCAGTGGTGCTGTCATCTTTGTGTGAGGTCGCCGGAGCAGTGAGATAGAGTCGCCGGAAGTTTCACCGGAAAATCTTCAAAACCTCCCTTACGCTTCAAGGTAAGCCCGTAGATATATCTAATGACTAGAATGTTCATATAGGTCGTTTATACGTTCATAAATGGTCATTTGGTTGAGTTTTGTGTTTGACATGCTTGAAGAACTAAGAATCATAAACCATGAAATTGATGTTAAAATTATGAATTAATGATGCTAAAATGATCTATGAACCTTGGAGAACATTTTTATATACTTTAATTGAAGTTTGGTGAGTAAAAGTGACATTTCCGCAAGTTGGCTCGAGGTAGAAGACGATGGAAAATCGATTATCAACTTGAAAATCGATTATTCATCGTTCTGCAGATTTTTGTAACAAAGCTGAGCAACAGTCGATTATCAGAATGTGATAATCGACTGTTAGCCCTCTCTGAAGTTTGATAATCGATTATCAGAGTGTGATAATCGATTATCAGCCCATTCTGAACATCAGACAGTAGATTATCAGAAGTGACAGTAGACTGTTACCCTACACTATTGAAGAAAATGAAGCTAATAGCTAATAATTGAATTTCCTATCATATATTAATCAATTGTTATTTAGAAAATATGATTTTTGAGTTATGAAATCCTATATTTTGATACCAAACCATTATGATTAATAAAAGGATGATTTCTTGGAATAAAGATGGTGTTTTAACAACTAAAAGGGATCTTATGTGATGCATGACGGTAAGCTAGGGTGTTAACACTCGATGCTAGGCTGCTGATTGTTATTAGAATGTTCATTTAATGAATATTATGGATTATTAAATGATTGTTGAACTAAGAATATGAATTGATAAATAATGTTGTTAAAGATATCTAGAAGAACTCTAAAGATATATCCACTTGTATAATGATGATAATTATTAAGGATATCTAGAAGAACTCTAAGATATACCTCCTTGACCAATTCGTATTTCGGGGTTAAAACGTACGTACGGGATCCAGAACGGATATCACCCACCCGGCAGTTCACTGTTCGGTTGGTACGTAATCCACATGACTCATAGGGTGGATTATCGATTCTTGTGTTCTGCATTAAACTATTTATAGTTTAAGGGCCTGGTTAGAAATGTTGTCTTAGACTAGGAATAGTTAAGAGTTGTTATGAAATGATTTGGCTTTAGATTAAGAATAATTTGATAGCATTGTTGAGACATTGAATATCAAATGACTTGGAATAAAATATTGAGAATAATATGAATGTTTGAATTATATATTGTGTGCATGATATCAAATGGTTGATTATGAATCGAGATTCAATTTATGTCGATGTTCGACGCTTTAGATATGCTTACTCAGCTTCACCGCTGAGCGTGTAGTGTGTTTTATTTGCTACACGCAGGTAGGCAGAATGAATGATTGGCTGATTCCTGGCAACAGAAGGGGCGAGACAGTCGTGGTAGATTATTGAATAAAATAAATAATTATGTTGTTATGAGACACTAGACTCGTACCCGTGCGTTGCACGGTAAAAAAATCAAGTTACAAATTTATGTAAAACTGTTATTATCACGTATAAAAAATTAATTTAAATAAAAATAATAATTACTAACTGTTGTGCATTGTAAAAAAAATATAAATGAAGGAAATATTATAAGCAATAGTTCATTAGATATAAAGATGCACAAAACTATATTCTTGATACAAAATATCAATAATATAGATTCAATGCATAAAGATTTCTTCAAAATTTCATTTAACAACTTTTTAGGTAGTACATAGAACATGATAATAAATGCAATGAAAAATCTAGGAGGAGGTTCAAGTCACATTAGACTCTCATGTCATGTTATGACATCACCCTCGATTAGAGAAAATTTAGTGTTCTATAAGAAAAATGATGGCTCCTACCTTCCAAACAACCCCGGTAATCCTCCCCCACCACCCCGTCCCAACCCAAATCAACCCCCAGCTCCTCCCTCCATTCCTTCCAATTACATCCCACAAAAATTAAATAATTTTAGAGTTAAATTTTAATTTCAAAGTCAATTAAATTTGTAGGGTGCAATTGGAAGAATCATCGAAGATAGAATCATCAATTTTTCAAACAGAGAACCATAGATGCCCTGAGTCAAACAATGACATTGGAATTCAATGTCACTTGAACCCCCGGGTGACAAATCTATAAAACATTACAATTCACTTGAAGATATAAGTTGTCTCTCAAAGAATGAGATAAACAATTTTCTTGATCTAAAACCATGAACCAAAATTCTACATACATTTTTATATTCCATCAAAATCTAGACACTTTATCCAGTTGAGTTTTTTCAATGCAACTTTTGAATTTCACCATTAGAAGTTATTTTTTGAGTAGCCCCTTACTTGCACTCATTTTTTAATGTAACTATAAAAATTCAAATTGAAAAAAAAAACCAAATGTGCAGAACCTATCTTTTCAAACAATTTTTAAAAATAACATCAATTTCGACGAGAAAAAAATACATGGTAATAAGCTATGACATTTCAAACAACACATTTGCTCCAAAATTAAATGAAAGTAAAGCTGTAGCGAAGTTGCACTAAGCATTTGAATGTAAGATTCATACTACTCGTCCCCACGTTGAACCATCATCCTCTTATTCGAAATATGCATCAGAGTAAGGTCTCTTCTATTCACTACAACAAATATAGAGCAAGAGAGTTATTTTGAGTAAAGTAAATTTGCCCAACCATGCAGAACCATCCCTAAATTGTTTTCTCTCAAAAATAATTTACACGAACAAATTAACAATTCATTTGCATAACTGCAGTTTTAAGAAATCCCCATTTTTTATCAATCGGTAAAAAAAGCACCAAATTTATATGACAATAAAAGCATTCTACTATTTTGATAAAGAAGAGTCATGCAGACTATTAATAGATTGAGTTAAGTGTTTGAGGATCACATGAATTCTCAAAGCTACTTTAAAAAAAATAGCTATAACACCTTTGAAGGTTGTGTTGTAAAAATCTCATACAACTGGGACCGTGTCACTCAGTGTCATCCCTCTCTACCTTGGAAAAATATACTCCGTATTACAAATGAGTATGTATTAAAAAAGGAGTTAAATTGATCTTTTCTAGCAACTCCAACCAAATGATGACTTCAACCCCTTCCTTTTTTCTACTCCATGTCATGGAGTACTAAACAATTAAGATCATGTTTTCTTCAACTAAGTATGTGAAGTAAATCAAAAAGTAGTGTTTTAAAAGTTGTTTGGAAAAGCTTTTCATGGAGTATTAATCTCACTACTACGAACAATAAAATGAACTAACGAAGAATATGAGTGTTTACGGAAAAAACCAATCCATTAGAATTGAGTCAACATATCTTTGTCATTACTTGATTCTGAAAAAAGCTATAAGTTATTCCACCTTCATTGAATCACTAAAAAAATACCTTTCCAGTATCTTTTTACCAAAAGTTAGCAGCATAGTAATAACTTAAAACGAACACCATGTAGAAATCATGAGATGGTTATTGTCATTTATGTCCTTGATACATATTGGTCACTGAAAAAAATTATCATAGCAAAAAGAAAAGGAATAATGCTACCACGAATAATAAAATGAACTAATGAAAAAAATGAGTGTTTACTTAAAAAATCAATCCATTAGAATAAAGTAAACATACCTTTCTCTTTACTTGACAACATTGACTGAGGTTGAGGTTGAGAATACAACAAAGCAAAACTTTAGCTTTATATATTGAATAAAATTACGAAGAAAAAAAGACAAAGAATTCAATCATGCTTCCAATTTTAAATTCCGATCATACTTCCAGGGTATCATAAAGGGAACACAATTACTGTATCATTCACATTGTTGGAAGATGACAATACGATAGACCAAAGCTTTATCTTTAAATATTGAAAAAAATTAATAAAAAAGAACACAGAATTCAATCAAGCTTCCAATTTTAAATTCTAAACATACTATCTGGGTAACATGCTTCCAAGACACTGGATTACTTATAGAAAACCCTCAAAAATCTTTAATTTATTCAATAGCACACCGAATAAAAACATTTTACCTGGTATATCATGGCCCATCTTCTTTGCCTGTCCCCATTTTGCTACGGTGGACCATATTAGTTTTTGAAATAAGAAAAAAGATAAAAATAAACTGCAAAGTGAAAAGAAATAGCCATGGAGAAAGATTTAGAACCGTAAATTGAGATCGAAGTAGAAGAACTGACAAACCCTAGCTCAAAGTTGTAGTCTCTGTGTCTCGACCCCAGTTGGCTTATTCAAGGCACAACTATACCGCACATACTACTTGTAGACGTCTTTTACAGATTCAAGGTGCGATTTTCGAATCAAGATGCATAGCCATTGCCACATCTAGATAGAAAATAAAAAAGAGATCTCGATCAGAAGGCTTACTGCAAACTCCGGTGAAAGATGAGAGCAAAGGCGCAAGGCCGGGTGAACCCACCTCCGTCATCTTTGATTGAAGCAGCAGCATTTCCCTCACCGGTTTATTTATTGAAGACTAAAACTTTCTCGATACGCTACACATTTGTGTGCTTAACTCGCCCATACCCAAACTAAAAAGCCCATCAGACCCTTATCCAAAACCAATAAAATGTATGGGAAATAAACACTGTTCAATTCTTCCTTTTTGCTTGCTTTGTATATAGTATAGATGGTGGATTCAAAAACATATACCCAAAGGTACCATTGGGTATTCATAGTCACAATTCATACTTAATCACTTACACTAACGTTTCAAATATTTTGTTAAAATTAAAAAAGAAAAGTTATTAAGGGAAGACCAATCCGGATACTCCTTGTAAATTAAAGGAAAGAAAAAAAGAAAGAGATAAAAGGGAAGTAAAAAAGAAGAAAAAGAGGCCAGAAGGTACAACCCCAAGCTCAAAGAAATCAAAACCAAACTTTGCATTGTCTTCAAGTGTAATCAAAACCACATATTTTCTCAAATAAAAGGATCAAAACTATAGTCTCCATTTATAAACTAAATTATTACCTTGCCCAATTGGAAAGAGCGTCTTATGCACAAATGGATGCAATAGTGGATAGAACTCATAGCAATTTTCAATGTGTGGATAGTAAGATAGAGTATGGCTTCAGTGCTAGATGAAGGAAGACTTAATAAGGCTTAAGAATAATCATGTGTTGTTCACCACTACATAAACACCCATAAACAAAGAAAAATTATACATTTATAATAAATATATTGATATAAAGTAAATGGATAAAAAAAATTTCAAGAAAAAGTATCAAAAAAATAGCATTGCATGAAAAAAAGAAGATTAATCAAATTAAATATAGAGTTAACACAATGAACAGAGTCAAAGACCATCATAGTCAAAGCCATCCACCTCAATCATGTTGAGATAATTGATCGAAACAAAAAAAAACTTGTTAAAAAAACATTTTTTTTAAAAAAAGACATCTTCTAGAAGGTAAACAATTTTTTTTAGAAAACTGAACACACCCACAAACATACCTTCCATGTCGTTGTAATAAAAATGTAAAAGACACATGTAGTAATAAAAATATGAACATTTAATGAATGGATTGGCCACTCCATGAAATAGAAGAGACACATGTAGTAATAAAAATCTAAAAGACAATCAGACATACAAAAAAATCCAGTTTATAGTTGTCTCTCTTCAATAGTCAAAGGAATTCCATCTGTAAACTACAAAACTCTTGTAATCAAACACAAACATCATCCTAATGATGAATTTAAATAAGTAATCAGAATAAATAAGCTGTCGATGAAATTACACACCTTCATGCCTTTTTTGAAATGTTTTCCACCCAAAAAATATAAGGGAGAAGACATCTTGTGAATCACCCTATAAACAAAACCCCAATTCAATTCACTTAAACATTTAATTTTTTTAAGAAATTTGAAAATGCAATTCTAAATTTAATCAATAATATATAAAAACGAAGATGTCTTAATCGGTAAATATCAGAAGAAGAGCAGCCAATATCAAACATATACTTCAGTAAATATGTTAAATCAAAGATAAAAAGAAGAAGAAGAAAATGAGGAAGAAGAAGACCTGCATCAGTAGGCCAATCGTCTTTCTCGTCACAATCCATGGCTGGGGTTATAACCCTAGGTCAAGGCTATTTCACGCAGCCCTCCCCTGCTATTTTTTTATCAGAGATGGAGCGGACGATTCTCTTGATTTTACCTTAGATTCTTCAGATTCTTTTTCGCTTGAAGATGAAGAAAACCAATCTTCATTGCCGTTGTGCGGTCGTGGAAGAGAATGACCAACGGGCGGGATAGAACCCATAATTCAGAGGAACCACGCGATGGACTCCGGCCGAAGATGAGAGCGGCGGCGCACGTCTGCCCATCTGAGAGACATGAGAGGATAAATGGCGTTTGAGCCTTGAATAGAAACCCTAGAAAAAAAGGAATCGCTTAGCTTTCCCCATACGCTTTCGGATTACTGTTCAGCTAAATGGGCGGGAATAATTGACAAAGTTACTGTATCAATTTGCCTTCTGCTTTTGTACTCCTTCCGTTCCACAAAACCCTTCCGGTTTTGACTTTGGAAAAAAATAAGGAAAGTGTAATTTTGGTTGACTTTCCAATTTTGCCCCTGATGTGATGGGAAAAAGTAAGATGTGATAGTTTGGTTATTAGTGAAAAAGTATGATGTGATAGGCAGAGTATGAAAAAGTAGGGGCAAAAGTGGTTTTTTAATAGAAAGTGGAAGTGTTTTGTGGAAAGCAAAAAAAACGAAAGAGGAAGAGTTTTGTGGAACGGAGGGAGTATATAGATAGATATTTTAAAGTCGCTTCCGCATTTTATTTAAACACTCTGTATTTCTCTACAATCATGTATGGAATATTATTTATAAATAAAAATGTTTGAAATGTTTTAAATTATCACGATTACCAAATCAATACTTTAGTCCGAAAGGAGCTGCAGACCTTGACGGATTAAGGTGTTACAAATTAAGCCTAGGACCCATAATTCTATTCCTACTAGAATTAGAACATATCGGACAATCTTAATCCTACTCGATAATTAGCCAACAATAACCGATTCAAATAACCCTTTGAATCGGTTATTAGGAAGAACCGATTCAAATGCTTATTAGTTATTTGGATCAATGGTTCCTAATAACCGATTCAAATGATCCTTCCCAGAATGGACGGAATAGTGGAAAAGAGGCTTTTGAATCGGTTAAACAACCGATGCAAAAAGTAACCTCATCATTTGCATTGTCAGCTTTTGAATCGGTTTACAACCGATTTAAAAAGGTAAAAATAACCGATTCAAAAGGGCTTTTTTGTAGTAGTGTCGAGTTGAACTCGGATCGATTTCAAGTGAGATGGGACGAAAATATAAGTATTTAAAACCGATCATCAAAGGTTGAACTATTTGAGGTTAATTATGGAGTGTTTAAAGTACTTACTTGTATGTGTTGCTTCATCATATCATAGACGAGTACTCCATAATGTGTTTTACAGTAATTTCTATCCCTTAATATTATTCTAGAGCTCCCTTCTTTTGACAACAATTATAAAAATTATATTATGACAACAAGATCTATGGTGCACCCTTTGAAAAATTGATGAATTGCACTTTTTAATCCCCCTAAACTCCTACACCCCCACCCAAAATACCAAAATGCTACAATAATTGTTGTAGCATTTTGGGAAGGGTGCTGATCTGAGGTGGGGACAAGGGTTTAGGGAGGGTTGGAAACTTGTTATCAACCGAAGCGAGTTGTGTTATTGTATTATTATTATTATTATTATTATTATTAAATTTACTATTATTATAACAATTATTGTGTTTATTTTTTATACTCATTGATTGTCCAATCTTGTATTATTGGAAAGAAGTCTCTTTATGGGTTGAAGTATGCCACACGCGCATGGTATGAGCGCCTCTCTGGTTTTCTCATTGCCTACGGCTTTCAACACACTGTTCATGACACTAGTTTTTTTGTTATGCATACTGCACATGGCATCATTATACACCTACTCCATGTTGATGATATTATTGTTACAGGCAATACCTCTCCCCTCATTCACACCTTTATTACATCACTTCTGCGTGAGTTTCAGATGAAAGATCTTGGTCCTCTTTACTATTTCACGGGTCTTGAAGTTCAACGGACAACAAATGAGTTAATTCTTTCGTAGGAGAAGTATGCTCGTGAATTACTCCATCGAGAAGGGGTGGATGACTGCAAACCTTCTCCCACGCCTATGCTGGTTCGGTTCAGTGATGATGGTGCAGAGAAACCTTTTGATCGATAATCCCACATTCTTCAGAAGTCCCGTTAGCCCCTTACATTATCTTACCAATACAAGACCTGACATCTAGTTTGTTGTGAATAATCATGTCCATCAACGTATGCATACACCCACTGAACAAGATTTTCAATCTCTCAAGCGAATCTTACGATATGTAGGAACTATTGATCTGGGTCTTCATTCTAGGCGCGGTCTTATCGCCTTTCAGACCTATTCTGATTTGGACTGGGCGAATGACATGAAGAATGGTCGTTCTATCACAGGATATCTCATTTATCTTGGTCCTAATATCATCTCCTAGAGTATAGAAAAACAAAGCCAGGTGTCCAAATCCTCAACTGAGGCGGAATATCGTGCACCGTCCTTTGTTGCGTCTGAAGTCATGTGGCTAATGTATCTTTTTGAAGTCCAACGCATTTGGCTGCCTCCTCCGTTCATATTCTGCGACAATCAATCAACTATTTGTTTGACCAAGAATTTTGTTTTCCATAAGCGTATGAAGCATGTTAGCACATACTATCACTTTGTTAGGGAACAAGTCACTATAAAAACTTTGATGATCTCGTACGTCCCGTCTGCTGACCAGCTTGCCGATCTTCTCACAAAAACAGTACCATCTCCACGATTTGCCACTCTCGTTTCCAAGCTTCCCCTCGTTTCACGGTGTTTAGTTCGAGGGGGAATGTTAGTGAACAAATAATACTAAGAATAACAAATCTAGTTATGATTGTATTTCCATATTAGTTAACTTCTAGTTCTATATAGAATCTCATACATTTTGAGATTACCTCGTATATATACCCTATTGTATTGTTTTTTATTCCTTAAATAATATAATTATTCAATTATTCAACAATTCTTCTCATCTAAAAAAACTAATTATACATTTTCATTGAGAAGAGAGTGGGGACTTTTCTCAAAGAAAATATAGGTGTTGAAGAGCCCTTGCATAGTAATTATACTAGTGCATTTTCTTCACTTTGTTATTCTTGCATTTGGTATTCGTGCACTTAGTGCCCCTTATGCTCTGTTTGGTACACGGAATTCAAACTACGGAATTGGAATTAGGGACTTCAATTTCAATTCTCATGTTTGGTACTATAAAAATTATACGCCGTATGAATTTGGAATTAATAATTCAAAAATTATGTGAATTTAATTCCAATTCAAGTTCAATTTTGATCCTTACCATTTTTGTCTACTTCACAGTTCTAAAATTACAAAAATGAATGTACTGTGCAACTCGTTCTTGCAAACTCGCGGGAGTTCGCCTGCAGCCGTGGATCATCTCCAGCCGTTGAGCAACTCAATGCTTTTTTCCCTTCTCTCCGTCATTGTCGGCAAAGCTCCGTCGCCGTTAACCCGAGTTTCCTCTCTTCCTTTCCGTTCTCTTCTAGCATCTGCCGCGCGACCGGCTGTTTGGAGACGGCTAAGTTTGATGGCTAGTAAGCTTCCGAGAGAAGGTTCCTCGGCCGCCGTCGATAAAATCGGAAAAGCTATGAACTCCGATCTCTCCGGTAATTTGGAATCGATCTTATTTTTCTTATTTGTTTTTTTTCCACCACCTGATTTACTGTCTTTACTCACGTTGGGAGGGTTTAATCAGGGGCTAGTACGTTTAGGGTTTATCGATGGGATACTCTATAGTTTGTTGTGTGAATTCCAGTGACCTTTGGATTGCGTTGCAACAGTTGTGGAATCATCTGAATAACTGTTACAGAAAAAAAATTGGTATTGCAATTCTTTCAAAAAGCATTGAATTCTGGTGTAACTCTTGATCAGGTGGGTGGGAAAGATGCTGGGAAGAAGGAATAACACCATGGGATCTGGGAAGACCCACACCAATTCTTCAACACCTTATTGAGACAAAATCCATTGCTAATGGTAGAGCTCTAGTCCCTGGATGTGGCGGGGTAAGCTCTGTTAGTATTCTCATGACTTGATGTTTTGATGGTGCTTTGAGTCTCATAGATGGTGTTTCATTTCTAAACTGACTAATCTTGCTCCATCTGCTGACAAAATTATGGCTTCATTGCATTTATATGATGTGGAGTTTCATCCATTCCTTTTTGCTATATAAGCATATCATGTTTGTTAATAGAACATTTCATTTCCTCCGACTGAAGCATATCCTACTGTCTGTTATCTCTCTCTCCTGCTCATGCCTTGTCTAATGCTCTATTATGCATTGGCCAATTATAGGGTTATGATGTGGTGGCACTTGCATCACAAGAGCGTTATGCTATTGGACTGGATATATCGGAAGTTGCCATCAATAGAGCAAGACAGGTGGTCTCCCTTTTCTTGCCCTCCAAAGGCTCCAATCCATCCTTTCTTGTTTTGTTTTCTTTCTTTCCTTTCCCAACAACAATATCTTTTTCTGAATTTAAAGTCTTTAAAACTTAAACCCTTTTGTTGGGCCCCACCAACCCAACAAAAGGCTTAATGGCATGTGGGCATGTCAACGGACTGGATCTGTGCCGTTACAACAAATTCTGGATCCAAATCCATGACTTTTAAAGCTCTAACCGTTTCGGTTCCGATGTTTTCGGATCGGACCTGCCTCCGAATATAACTACAGAGTATATTATTATTATTACTATTATTATTATTATTATTTGAACACCTTAAAATAATAATAATAATAATAATAATAATAATAATAATAATAATAATAATAATAATAATAATAATGACTACTACTACTACTCCAGGGCATTTTATAACTATCTTTATTATACAGTATACACACATGCATACAATATAAATATAAATAAAGAAATATTACATCAGGAGTAAAATTAATACTATAAACTAGACACACACAATCTGATGCAGATCTGGAACACATGATACCAAATCTGGGTTCCTTTTTAAATTGGAAAATGGATCAGATCCAGACAACTGTCATGGGTTGATGTTTTATTTAAAGCTTTGGGGAATGGGAGAACACCACTTGAATGAGTGATATCTGAGTGGGAGTTCAAGTCCTGCAAGTTCCAAGATATCACATTCATGGTTTGAACTCAACCCCCTCCCCTGAAAAAAGATGATTAGGAAAAAACTAAAAAACAAGAAGAAAAAAATCATTAAGCTTGGCAGTTAAAGATGTTGTGGATTCTGGAATATGTAATAATTACTTCCCTTGATAAAGCACCCAGGTGAGTCTGAGGATATATAGATCACCAGGCGACTCTGCATTTAGTATTGTTCATATTCATGTATAATTGTATATATAATCTTGCAGATTAATTCAATCTCTTGTTCAAATAGGTGGCAGCATCATCCCCAAATGTAAATTACTGTTCTTTTCTGCTAGAAGACTTCTTTACATGGGAGACAAGTGATCCCTTTGATATCATCTTTGATTACACGTAAGCTGTTAACTATCTGCTATGCCCTTTGATGCTAGAAACAATTATGAACTTATTCCATTTTGTCACTCTTTAGGTTTTTCTGTGCAATTGAGCCTAATTTGCGCTCTGCATGGGCGGCTCGGGTGCGAGATCTCTTGAAACCTGATGGAGAGCTCATAACCTTAATATTTCCGGTGCTTTTCAACAACTACTATACCATTCTTCCTATTTATTTTAGTTGTCCGGTTTATATTTAAACTGACTTGCTCAGTCCATGAGGATTGATGAACATGCTCCAGCGTTCCATTGCTTTTAACATACTTCATAAATGCAAAAGAAGTAATTATAAGCCAAATGGATCCCGAAATGATGTAGATAGCTCCAATGAGGCTTACACCAATGCACGGAGGTTTCATATATTCACGCTCAAAGTTCAATAAAGGCCATAACTCTTTGACCGTTTTGTCCTTGACGGATTGTCTGCCTATTCGGAATACTTACATATGATTGATACTCATTAGTTGCTTTGTATATTTTATGTCCCTATTCAGCCATATGGATGAGTCACTGACTCACCATAGGGTCCATACGCAACAAGGAAATATCTAAGCTCATATAGTTGGCTAAAGAAAAATATGACATGAGCTTGTTCTACTTTTTTGTTGGATACTGATCAATCTAATCCTAGTACCAGTGGAAAGAACACATTTCTGCTTTAAATTGGCTAAGGCCATGTACAATTGGAATTTGGATTGCTCTGCTTCCCTATGAGTGCTGGTGTGGTAATGGGTTTGCTGTTTGTTTTGGTTGGTTGGCTATCTCTGAGATGGTTTCAATGGGTTGTGTTAGGTAACTTACGTTTTTGTTGGCAGATTGATGATCATGAGGGTGGTCCCCCTTATAAAACATCTGTTGCAGAGTAAGTCCTTTGTCTCCTCTCATTACATTTTCCCAAATAGTAGGGGTGGGCAATTGCCCGGGCCACTTATCGGGTCGAGAGTATTAGACCATTTAAGAATCGGACCAATAATGGGCCGACCAATTCACATATATCAACGTGTTGAACAACTTGGGGTCGTGGTCCATTTAACAACCACAAAATAAGAAATCCAGTTTAGTCCCACTTCACAAGGGGGTGTGGGGAGGGTAGGATGTATGCAGGACTTTGCCTTAGAGGTTTACGCAGACCCTACCTCAGAGGTGGAGAGGCTGTTTTTGTAAGACCCATTAACAACCATGTTTCTTTTATTTATTTATTTATTTATTTCATTCTTATGTCAATACACTTTCTATTCTTGATCAAACTTATTGCTTATTTTAATTATTAAATTATTATGTATTCACTGCGATGCCAATAGTTTCCAAATTTTCATGAGACTTCGCTAATTTTTTAAAACATGCGTAATTTTTTTTAACTCGACCCACTAACTCCCTGATCTGTTCAATTACACATTGGGATGACCCCACCAGTCCACCTCACTAACGGGCCCACCTAATGAGGTCCGGCCTGTTGCCCACCCCTAATCCCATATACAAGGACCCAACATGTCACATGTCGAAGAGTAGATCAGCCTTTTTTTCTTCATCTGAAATGAAGAGTTATTGATAATCATGTAAGAATGGAAAAATCAGCATTGGCTAGTACTTTATCTCACATTTTTGTTGGTCTTCGTAGTCGATGAGGTTTGAACTCTTCATTGCTGACCAGCATGTTTCTTCCTCACAGATATGAAGAGGTATTGCACCCAGTTGGTTTCCTGGCAACATCCATTGTGGATAATGAGCTTGCAGTCGGACCTCGTAAGGTATGTAATGAAGTCAAACTCCCTTGTCGAGTAGATACGATACATTAATTAATGTTCATGCTATAGTTTCAGTTACTTGCTTTTTTAGCATCTCATTTTTCTCCACTCCAATCTGGTGGCTCTCTTTCTGCACTTCTATAGCTCTAGATCACATCACTCTCGTCTCCAAAAATTATTATACCTTTGTTTTACTTTAGGGAAGGGAAAAGCTTGGGAGGTGGCGAATGATAAGACAAGCTTCTGCACTATGAGGATAGGGTAGTTGATTGAATCTTTTGATGCTCGTATGTAGCTCCAGCTGCAACCACGGTAAACCACCACGATCACATCAAGTCTTATGCTTGCAATAGGGATTGGGGGGGGGATCAGATCAAGTCTTATGCTTGTAAACACGATTCACCTTGACATAAAAAAAAGTGAAAAACAAAGCATTTGTCTATCTATATTCACATCAATTAGAATTGGCCAACAGGCTCCCTGTGTCCCAAAAATACTTGTTTGTTTTTCTTTGGTCCGTATTAGAAAGAGGTTCATGTTTGTGAAGAGGCTTGTTCCTTCTTTGTGAAGAACAGATGGGGAGTCTAGCTTGAATGGCGTAAGGCCGTCCTCCTTCTTGCTGCATGAAGAAAATATTCAGATGATAGAGACACGTGCTGAATCTGGGAGCTATGAAGTCCGATATCAATGGAATAAGTTGATATCAACACCCATTGTATTGTATCTTCAGAGTTGGAAGTGAACCCTTTTTGTCTTCACCAAATGCCAATTTTGAAGAATTAGATCAGGAATATCAAAACACATTCCACATTCTTAAACAATTCAAAACGGCATCATATGAATATGTTTTTAAAGCTGCTTGAGCCAAAACGACGTCCTTGAGTTCGACAGAAAAAAATCAGGTGGAGTTGGGCTTATTTCACTGCGGCCATGTTCTCCACACGTGATTTGAATGGTTCTGATATGATTGAAATAAGTTTTGATCTGGTCTGATCTGAAAGTAGTTATATTTAAGGCTTCTTAATCTGATTTGGTCTAATGTGATTCCAATAAAAAATAAAAAATAATAAGAATAAGTTGAAGAATAAGAGGAGTTGTTTTTGTTAATTACATACTACTTCTATTTCCATTTAAGTGTATTTGCCTAGTTTGACGTTTTCAAATCAAACAGGATGGATCTTGAGCTTTAGTTAAACAAAACTTGAAATGTATATTAGTATAAAAGTGAATCGAGTAGTGTTCTTTAAGAAAATTACTTGCTTTGCGCGCTTGAATATTGTGTTGGTCTTATTGAAGTAAATCTACCTTGGCTAAGAGCTACATAGATACAGAGTATATGATTAAATAGCCAATTTGTTTCTGCCTTCTTATCACTAATTTGTTTTAAGAAGCATATGATAACCATTTAGATTCAAAAACTCTATAATTAACGCTGTTGGGAAATTGAGATAATATAGATTTATCTTAGAATCGTGATAACACTTTCAGATTGATTATTGGAACATTTAATCTATAATCAATCGGATGCAACTCAATTTTTCGATCAAGAACAAGTATGAATTGTGATGAATTTTTCAAACTTCTTCCTTTTTGACCAAGCCTTGCGAGATTCTGATAGAAGCAGGGAAGGAGGAGAACTGCGTTCAGGCCTCTCTTCTAAACTATCAAATACAAAATGAATATGAAAGTTTTGTATCACTCAAACATACCCTGGATTTCATATATATAGAGAGCAAAATCCAAACGAACATGTCTTTTTCGCGAAACAACATGACTTATCGAGTAACATTTAGACAAAAACATTCAAGTTTATACAACTATTTAGAAGTCAAGCACTTGTTTGGACGAATCAACACATCTAATCATGAAACATTCGAATGGTTCGAACCTTTTCACAAAGGATGCTAGAGATAAACTATACATTCTAATGTACCCGGAGTATTGTTTTGCACATTCAAACGTATAACACTTGGAACTCCATTTACAAAAATTTAAAGATTTTTTTACATCCAAAATAAGATTTTTGCCCCTTCGACAATACCAGGAGCTAGCGCCCCTCAGACCATGCTACTGATTGCCGTCCCTAGAATTCTGTTATGAAATTTTTAATATCGTTGAACGAGCATGCACTTTGCACCTCTGAACTCGTTAAAAATGTGTATTTAAATTTCTATCTGATCGAAGTAAATTCAATTATATAAAATAACTGATCACACTAAAAAATCACCAACAATAATACTTCATATAAAATTACTGACAACACTAAAACCACCAACAATAATATAAAATAACTAACAACACTAAAACCACCAACAATAATATAAGATACTGATAACACTGAAATCACCAACAACAAGCATTTCACAAAACAGTAATGATTGAAATTCAACACAAGCACTGAAGAAACCACTTAACTAAGACAACCGAACATGCAAAAAACAAACAACTCAGACAAACCATGCAATTCTTTGTAAAACGAGTGTAAGGTTTTGAGTTTAAAACCATAGTTCAGAATCCTTCTTGTGTAAAAGCTTTTGAGTTTAAATCACTATGAGGACGAGATGAACGACTCAATGAACATCTAGCCCTTTGATACAAACCTCTTTGATCAAATCACGTCTCACACTTCAAGCGGTAAGGTAGAAGCTTAAAACTAGGAACCTAAGGCTAATCTATCAAACACCGAAGACGATTGAGAACCCGATATTGAGTAATAACCCAGCCAGCAAAGTCGATCAAAAACTGACCAATCATTACGTGATCCTCCGTAATTCCTTGCGTGCAATAATACCCAAACTACATCGCACGTCAAGAAACCCAATGTAACAAAAAGAATAATAATAATAATAATCAAAGACCAAATGGCCACACCCAGTAGCACCCATTGGTACACTCTTGACAGTGGACACATTTGTGCCTAGTAACTGTCAAAACTGTCTTAATGACAAGAAATCTGGAATGGGACGAGAAAAAAAGGTGAAAGAACAGTACAATTACTATATTATATAAATAATAAATATATCTCCAACACCACAAATGGACATGTATACAAATTACTGAACTACTACATATTGTATAAAATGAGCAAAAATGAACGAGTACAGACAATCGAATAGCCCTCGCAACATTCACCATAGTGTTGTTCATCATCAAAACCATAGGTTGTTTCGTATTCTGCATATTTTTCCTCGTTGCCATATTCCCCCTCCACCAGTTCAATAGTCATTGCCATATTCATCATCATATTGGTTTTCATCATCGTAATCATAGGTTGTTGTTTGGTCGTACTCGGCATAGTTTTCCTCATTGCCATATTCCCCTCCACCGGCCATCCATTCTTCTCCGGTCTCCTCTGTTATAAAGTCGTCTCCATCTTCTGTACGGTCAACATCCTCGTCCAGTCTGTCATTCCGGCTTTTCTTGAGATTGTCAGGAAGAGGCTGCAAAGATAAGGTCATGTGTGTTATTTGCCAATGTGTGATCGATCAATCGATGAAATCGCTGGTGAATAATGCCTATGGTATCACGGCAAAGCGAAAATATATGAAAAGCCATTCAAGGCATATTCAAGAAAAGACAAGCAAATGATAAAGATATCAAGACCGAAAAATGAAGACTTAGGTCAAACGTTTTGGTAGAGATTTGTTTGTAAAGGGTAACACTCTATTAACTCTCAAGAAGGCTCCGTCCGAACCCATGTCTTTGGGTACTTTTGGTAGATTTGTTTGTAAGGGTAACACTTTATTCCCTTTGTTTGATTGTCAATCATTTCTGCCCTGGTATCTGTTTTACCTTTGCTTTTGCTTTTTGGTTTGTTAAAGTTTTTCCTCAGCAAACCGAGCGACCTTTGTTTGATTGTCAATCATTTCTGCCCTGGTATCTGTTTTACCTTTGCTTTTGCTTTTTGGTTTGTTAAAGTTTTTCCTTTGTTAGGGGTAAGGTCGCTCGGTTTGCTGTTTTTGTTGTTTTTTCATATTGGCTGTCATTTTGAAATATTTTTTTATTATATTATTGTTACATAGCTTATGAAACTTCAATACAGAAGTGAACACATCAAGCACAAAAGATCTGAATATTATGACTATCATTCAAGTCACTACCCAACAAAAATGGAAATTGAAAGCAAAATAAGTGGTACGAATTGGGCAAGAGAGCTGCCTGAAGCTCTATAAAGGCAAGGAATACATACAAGTTCATCGAAAAGTGTGTCCAATACATCCAAGTTCACCATAGAGCTCCTCTGCATTAAGGAACATTAAATAATAGAATGAGAACGAATATCAGAGGGCAACAAAATTGATACACAAGCCGAAGATCATCATAGTCATCACACAATCCTAAAGTATTATGCAAAAAAACTAATTTTTGCAACTTTGAAAACAAAAATGGAAGGACCAGGTCATTCATTAATGCACAAATGTGCTGGTGAAATCATGATTTATGGTCGATATTTCATAGAGTGCACTTGTTCATTAAAAAAGAGTACCATATCTAGAAAAGATTGTGCATAGATGAAAAGTTAAGGTGGCTGTTTTGAAACAGGAAGATTAGTTTCAACTTTCAACAATTAAACTTGAAACTTTCACTACACACACACATACCATTCTCACACAAGTTAAACATCTCTTTACGAAAAAACCGTGAATGGTTCACATGTGCTCCATTCTCATGCGTTGTGAGTGTTGCACTCTTCACGGTGGCATGAATAGTCGGTATACTTATAACATTGCAAATACACGTCTTATTTAGATTGTTCTAAATTCTCGGTTGCTTGTAGTCCTTATGTTTGAAAATCAATGTACCACATTGATTCTCTTTTTTTTGGCGTGAAACACTGTTTTTATTTGAACACACCCAAATGTAGACACAGACAGTTTTGTTGTTGATAAGGTGCATTTATTAAACTGTTATTCCATCTTTTTTGCAAGAAATTCATATCATTGCACATTTGCCTTCTCTTTTTTTGGCAAAAAGGTGTATTTATTGCAAATAAATGGACCTTTGAGGCAGAAAAGAGAAAACAATAGTGCAATAAGTGCACCTTATCAACAGCCTTTAGTGCTGTCATTAGCAAAACCGAGTATTGGTTATTTAGTACCTTTCTACTCAGCATTTTCTGTGTGGCTTCTGCGGCAGTTTTTGCAGGACCAGATTTCTTCAATTCTGCAGCTCTTTGCTGTTGCTTTTCCTGCAAATAGGTCAGAGCAAAGAGGTTTGAGAAATCTCCCTAATGCTGTTGATGGCAGAGCACCAACACTCTATAGTGTAAATATGCTTTTCCCAGTATGGAAACCCCCCTTTGTACAGCAAGTCAACCAGAAAACAGCATCACATAAATGAGAGTTACAAATTAGAGGTGTATTAACCTCAACTCAAGCAAAATGTGATACGCATAACTATATCCAACTACGAAGTTCTACAAAATCACTGAAGAGCTGGGTAATATTTCTTTTTAAAGGCAATAGCTTGGTAATATATAGTTCTGAGGAAAGTGATCAACAAACAGCAGTTTGAAAAATATATTCCCTCCGTCCCACAATTAACTTCACAGTTCACACTTTTCCATATTCCTTTAATGAAAGGGAATATGTGGCAAAAAAATCTTTCTTCTATATTCTCAATTTACACTTTTCTTAAACTCCGTGAAGTCAAACAATGAACTAAATTACGGGACAAAGGAAATTGTACATAAAGGCTCCAGGCATACAAAATAAGTGTTTTGAGTTAATGCATCATGTGTTTTTTTAAACCGTTGTTAGATTATAAGCACACTTTATCATAACCCCCTTAGTGATCAAAGCAAAACCACATTGCAAAGCAACCCCATAACTCATAATGGTCTCAACATTATACTTTAAATGAAAACCTTTTTAGACTTAGACACAGCAGCTGCAGCTGCTGCAGCAAGCTTTCGTGCAGCTTCCATCTCCTCAGGATCGGTGAATTTAGACTCAAAAGCCTTCTTTTCAGCTAATGCAGCGGCTTCTTTAGCTTCTTGTTCCTGTAAATAATAAGAGAATTTTCAATTTCATATTGACAGATCCATTGCTTATAAGAATGTGCCAGAGATCATCAATGGCAGTGTGATAGAGATTGTCCTAGTGTTGGCACATGTCACAATGGGTGGAGGTGGGAGGGGTGAGGGTCACTGATGGTGGCAGTGGTAGGTCACCATCAGTGATTATTTGAGTCTACTTCTATCTTAGGAAAACTGTTTTATATTTTGAAATATAGGTTTTATATTTTGGATTTATATTTTGGAAACCACAAAAAATCTTTATCTAGTCTCTTATTCCCATGCGGTGCCAACAGCCATTTCCCCTTGACATAAATGATTTAAAATGTATGATATTTGAAATCACCTCAAGATACTCTTTATTCATTTTCTCCCAAATAATCTTTTTCAGCCGCTTCTCCTCTTCATTATGTAAATATGTGTCAACCTGTCCGGCATGGAATGTTGCTCACGGGTGTTAAAAAATTGTAATAAACCAAACTGCAGAAATTTATAAACACATGCAAAGAAGAGAATTGTATGCACAGTCTAATGCCAAGAAGCTTTAAAACTGTTAATAAAGAACAAGAAAGATTAACATATTTACATGCCAAATTTATAAAATAACTTCTAATGATAGAAAAAGCAACATGGAAATTAAAAATGAAAGGGATATAATTTCTGAGACAATAATGCCTGGAAATTGGATATCATGTAGCTAATAAGATTTAGTACTAAAATTTATCACTTAAATATTATGCAGTACTCCGTATAACTTAGCCCAAGTTGCTCCAACACGATGTGCATCATCCCCGTCCAACTCGGCAACTCCCCATCCGCCTGAATGGCCGAGCCAAGATACCAAAATTTGTCTACCTTGGACACTGGGCAGGAATCAAGCCTAACTTCCACCCGTGGTTCTATCTCCAGACCACTAAAATGGCATTCCATGTATTCAGTCTTGGTCCTATTCAGTCTGGATCCTTAAGATTCCAGGGAACAACGCCAGAGTATTCAAGTGAATTTTTCCTTATTATTATTGATCTTTAAATTTTTGATGCCCCAAAAACAACTCAAGAGTGGACTATATAAAAAACAAATCTAAATTCCAAAATCAAAATGATCCACTATAGAGATTCTTATTTGAAATTTAGCCAAAACCAAAACTAAAATAGTCTCTGATGGGATCTATCTTTGAATAATCTATTAATGGATTATTTGAAGGGAAAATTCTATGGTGGACCTACATATGAGCAAAATAAGCATTTCTCTATTACTTAAATAAGCATTTGTTTTTTAAATAAAAAAAGAATTTTTAATGTGAGAAGGTCCACAAAATTGATATGTACCTAAGGTGCACCAAAGAAGACTCTATTTGAAGAGAGATCCAATCACTCTCATATAATACCAATAGAATAAAGGCGACAAAAACTTTACACACCTCTGCGTCATCGATGTCGGAAAATCTATCTGATTCGTACTGAGGAGGCCCATCCTGCATAGCTTCAGGTGTAGAAGCAAAATCTGCCATTGACAAGTGATCAAGTATACACACTTATATTCCGACCAATCTTTCAACGAAATGTAATCTATTAACAAAGAGCTTTCACAATTATTGTTGTAGACTACCTTTCAATTCAGACTCCTTTCCCAGTGATGCTTCATTCCCATTTGCATTCTTAACATGTCCTTTAGCAGACTTGTGTGAAGAAAAAGAAATAATAAAAGTGAATGAAACCCTCAATCATTCAGGCAAAGAGAACAAGCCAAAGACACTGGCCAAAGACATTACAATAATTGTAATCTTTTCAATTCATTTAACGCAATTTAAAGGCAAGTAAGAAACTCTCAATCAAATATACTAATGGCTAACGTTCTCCTCAACATGGTTGTCAAGTCGTCGCCTAGGCCACGACTAGTCGGCGACTAGTCGTCCGGGCGATTTTGCCATGGCGATTTGCTCTTCGACTAGCGCCTAGGGCCGCTTAGGCTATTAAGCGTGCAAAGCGACGCTTAGCCACGATTAGGCGACGCCTAATCGGTGAAAGAAATTGGCCAAATTTGACCTAATCCAATCGACCCGACCCAACCCGACCCGACCCAAATTTCATTAATTTATAAAATTTTTTCCTTCGACGCAATCGATCCACAATCGACCGTCTGGAGGGTCGCGACTGCTCGTCTTCCAGTAGCAGTGACTTCCAGGCTTCCAGTGACTCTCCTCCATCAACGATTCTCCTCCATCAGCGACTCTCCTCCATGGGTAAGATTTCTTAATGTTTACTTTGTTATCATTAAAGTATACTCTTTATTTGATTTAATTTTCATTGATTTGGTTCATTAAACTATAAAGTATAATATACTTTAGAATTTTCAGTTTTTTTCTGTTTTCTTAATATTTCAGTTTTTTTTTTCTGATTTCAGTTAATACTTTGGTTTTTTTCTTATTCTAGTATTTTAGTATTTCAGTTTTTTTTCAGTTTAATATTTCAATTTTTTTCTGAATTCAGTTAATATTTTGGTTTTGTATTTCTTATTTTAATATTTTAAGGGTTCTAGGCTCTTGTTTTTGTTTACTTGCTGGAATGTCATATTCACCAACTTGATTTAATAATTATTTCAGAACAAATGGGAGATAATAATATCCGCGACTACGAAGACGATCCATAGATATATATAATGTTAAAATTTTCAATACTAATTGTGATTTGTCGACTAGTCTACGACTAGTCGCCTAGTCCACTAGTCTCCCCGTCACCGACTCGACTCGACTTGTCGACTTAACAACCATGCTCCTCAACTTACTCTTATTACTTACGAAGTAGTATTACTTATTCTTATTAGAGTCAAAAACATCTTTAACTTTAACTAGAATCAGATCAGACTAGATCAAAAAGATTTAGATCAGACCAAACCGTAATAAAACTCATATCAAATTCAGGCAAAGAGAACAAGCCCCAAATCCCTCTTTTGGCCACTACGCTATGAATGTCTTGATGACTAAATCCAAGAAAAAATCCCCACAACACACGACCATATAAATGAAATGATAATTCATCAGAATGAGTAAATTATTTATATGACAACAATCTTGAAAATTAATGAAAGCAACGGAACTAGTGAAGAACTTTGTTGACAAAAATGGCAGGGAATTTCTTCCTCGATAAGATACCAGAAAAGGGCAATAAGGGGGATCCATCCAAAGTAGAAAGGATATAGCCCTAATGTGGGATGATCCTCGAGTCCACTTTCATTGGGCTTGGCCATCCCTCCATACTTGATACATTCTAATGTATTAATTGCACATGTTACTATTTTCTAGCTCAATTTTGGTCATGCAGTGACACATTTAAAACATCTCAACGAGTTTTTTGAATTGAAAATATACATTTTGGCTTCCCTCATCTTGGTGGTGACCTTCGTGTAAAACTTTAATCACATTCCACAAACTATCTAGCTTCTCAAGAAAATAGTGGAACTCATGCCCCTTTCTACCATACAAACTAAAGATAACATGGGCTTGAGCACTTAAAGAAGAATAGATGTGAAAGTGTGAAACATTAAGGGCTAATAAAAGGTTATCAAATGAGGTAAAAGGTTAGCTTTAAAGCAAAAGGACATCAACAACTCAGTTGAATCCCACAAGAGGGGACTTCACTTCGAGTGTTCAACTTCCCAAGTGTCTAAGTTTAAGCTCAGCTGCCCAGGTGTCAAGTTTAAGTTTCCAAAGTTTAGATGAGAAGAGATTCATGTTTCAACAGTTTGCTCAAAATTTTTAGTTTGAATTCTAATTCAAGTTCCCATTTTTATTATCATGATTTATGTTTAGTGTTTCTGTAACAAGCTTGAAGCACATGATGTTCCAACTTGCAGGGAAAGTAGTGATTATATAAATATTCGTTTCCTACTATTAGAATTAGAGTTTAGGTAAAAGTAGTGCTTTATTACTCCCTCCGTCCAATGCCAAAAGACACAGGCCACTATTTTGATTTCTCGATAACTTTTGTTTCTTTATGTGTTTTCATTGATCATTTGATAAAATAAAATAGTCATGCCATGTCTTGTTTTGTAAAACTTTTGACGTAGTTTTAAATTTTGTAAGTTTTATTTTTTTTTCAAAACTAATTTTTGAATAAAACGATTTTAAAAAGTGAGGGGTTTTACTTTGTTATCCGCGTTGTGCCTTTTGGCATAGGACAGAAGAAGTATTCTATAACCCACAAGTATAAAAGAAAGGAAAAAGAAGTTAATGCAAATATTACTAGGTCCAAAACTGGAATAGACAAGCATGAAAACAATGAGAACACTGAATACCTCAAGGTCACTGACATTGTTCTCAGCTTCAGAAGATATGAGTATATCTAAATCCTCACGGTTACTATCGTCAGATTCCTTTGCCATTAGCCTTTCCTTTTCTGCCCGTTGAAAGGCTGGAGGTTCTGACCCCCCATCAAGCCCACCTGAAAGTGTTATAAACTGCAAAAAAACCCAAACTAAATGTATTTCTTAAGGGCATAGGTGTGCTACAAATTTTAAAGACAGAAGACTCAAGGAGTTACATCGGTATAACAGCTTTCACAAAGGCCATGGGCGAAGGAAGGCATTCCACTTCCTTTGTGTTCACACAGCAATTCACTCATTCCAGATTCTTTTGACACAGGGTATTGTGCAGCAATAAACATCTGCTCTTTTTCAAGCTCCAAAGCCCTTACATTGAACTCTTCAATCTGGTTAAACATGGTGTATAAGAACAAATCAATCAATCAATCAATCAACTCGAAAGACACTTATTATGCACACAAGACCTAAGGTAAATAATTTGAAAATAAACAAGTAGTTGTGAAACTTTCAACTTTAAACCTTAATCACTAATGCAATCTTACCCAACATAAATAGACTTAGGTGCACAGGCATTATAAGAAATAGGGCACTGATAGGTATATCAGTTAAGGCGCACTTATCTAGTGAGTTAAAATCACATGTCTATACCATCCATAAAGCTCACATGAAATCTAAACCCTCTTTCACCACCTACAAACTGTGGCAGCCCAACAGCTCCTTATAAAGCAAGCTCAGGTGGAGAGAAAAAACATAACAACGACAAAGGATTTCACTAGAACCGGTCATAACAATCCAATTTAAAACCTCATTTAGAAAATTGAGTGAGCATCATACAAAGAATGACAAAATTAAGGTACAACATATATATTCTTTCAAAAGTGTAGGTTCACCTATAAGTTTACAGAAATAAAAAGAAACAGGTTACAGACTTACACTCATGCCCATTTAAAGAATATTTGTTTTACAGAGTCAATTTTGCAACGGGGTGACTATAGCATCTATTCAATTCATTGATGTCTTTGAGATGTTTTCCATGGAAGTAGAAAAAATTATATATGATGTTCACATTTATGGAATTCCGTCGCATCATTCCTTCTGAAGGTTGCAAAAGAAAGGGAAATGAGCAACTAGTGTAAACAAATTATACACCCATGATCACTATGACTATTATGCAACCAAACCAAACACAGATGGGATTAAAGTGAGGATAAGATGGTTATGAAGAAAAAGAGACAAGTTCAAAGTAAACTTTAATTAAGATAAATGGTTACAGAGATAATATCTCTCAAATAAATATCTGAGACACCATATATATGTGGAGATTTAATCAATCATTTATAGACTGACTCGTAAATGTGAACGGTTCACATTGGACCACGACGGTGTTGCAAATGAAAGACATCTAGTTTAACACATGATGGCTTGATACATCACAGCTTCACCAGTTCCTTGTATGACCACTTCAACAAGAGGGACGAGGGAGATCATATGTTTCAAAACCGAGGTGAGTTCGGAAGAGATCAAAAGGAGAGCTATTTTATGACCAGTTCGCCGACTCCTTTGCTTAAAAGGAACATGATTATCTTAGGACATGAAACCATGGGTCTCCTATTCTCTTTCTTTGTTATGTTTCCACAATCAAGACTTTCAGATCTTGATATCAATTTTAAGTGTTATAAAAACAATATTAGTAACCACGACACTTTTTATGAAAGGATCTCTAAACGTCCGTAAATACTCCCTGTTTTGGTAAATATTGTAAAGTAACAAAAACACACATGCGTGACCTTCAACAGAGAGATGTTTAAAAATAACTACTGTATTTGAATAATGAGCAAATGATGCCATGATGGAGCCATGGAACCAACAAACTCTCTTAAACGAGCGACATTGCAAGAAAAACAAGCACATTAAATTGGAAAAAAAATCATTGCAAGAACAAAAATAAAATAATGAAATATTGCATTTTTTTCATAATTGCATACCGTTAAGCTCCCAGAATCAGTATTCTCAAACTCAATTAAACGCTTTGTCAGTGTTGCTTCACAAATATGTACAACCCTGATCTGTTAACAAACATTTGAAAACCAATCATTGTTCATAATCAAACCATACATGATGCAATAAAGATAACACATTAACTGTAGGCTAACAACTTCTCTTTGTTTCTTACCCCTACTCGAAAGTAGAGGTACGCGGACCTTACTCCTACTCGAAAGTAAAGAGACCGTTTCACAAGAACTATGTTTTCCATATATGAACATTAATCAGAGTGTCATCTAGACTTCTAGAGAGATTTTTAGGAAAATTATTAAAGATTTTGATTATTTTGTCATACCTTTACGTTTTTTAAATGTGTGATTTGATCAACCTAGACTGGCTAGACAGATTAAAGGAATGGTGACAGTATTATTTTAAGGAACATGAGAAGGGTGGAGGCCCACAGCTTAAAAAATATTGAACTAGTGGTTGTTTTGAAAATGAGTAGAACTGTTTAAAATATGTCATGTGTTTGAAATTAGTCGGCACCTAGGAGTCTAATCGCCGGTTTGCGGCCAAGTGCCTAGTATTAGTGCTTTGGCTGCTTATTAGAAAGCTGAAAGAAAAGCAATATTCTGTAGTAAAGTCTTCCTTACAATGTCTAACTTAGAGAACTTCAGCCCATATGAAAGAGCAGCTATATAAAGTGCAGCTCCACATAACCCACTTGGTTTTCTCCCTGTCTACAAGCAATTTTGATGTCATAACAAAGTTGACTTCACTTCAACAGAATTGTATACAAGTACAGATATCAACATGCTCATCGAAGATACCTAACCTGCATCCAATCTCGCTTCATACTAGCAACAATGTGAAGTGCAGTACGGGAAAGATTTGGATTCGTCTCACTCTTACCACATAAACCTACATAGATGTGGAGAAGTGCAGGCAAGTTATAATCTTTTTGAAAAATCAAATGCATAGAATATTAGACCAAACTATGGATTAATGTTTATCCAGTAGCCGGACAAAAATGGGTAGAAAGTGTAGTATTGATTACAGAATCAAATATAAAATGAATGTGGCTAAAAATATATAGTGCTAGGCACGATTCACAATATACTACTACAGACGAATAAAATGGAAAAATGAAAAATGCACCATTTCAGATGATTGTCCATTTTTGGAACTAGTATATCTTCTAGTTGTGGGGGTGTTGTGTTTAAGCATGTGTTTTGCATGAACTCCAAACATTCCCTATCTTATTGCATGTCTCATGATGTATTAGGTGGAACAATTTACAATTTTATATTCCTCAAGCTTCTTGAATAACCTGAGAGGCGTGGTGGCTTGCTAAGTGCCACGTGCTAGACCTATTTTTTCCTACACTCAACAAAAATAATACTCCCTCTCTCCCAAAATAAACAACACACCTTTTTTTGGTCTGTCCTAAAATAAAAGTTTGTTACTCTCTTTCAAACCAATTCCGACCCCACACACTTCATTTTTCAATATCTTTCTTAAAATTCATGTTTGGTCAAAGTGGTTTTAAAATTGGGATTTTTAATTTGGGACAGATGGAGTACTTATTATCAAAATGGAAACACAAACAATGTAAGAGAACTTGTATAGACAAATCACAACTTTTGCATTGTGTCTATTAATCAATGAATTCATTACAATCCATATAAAAATGAGAAAATTAATTATGGCTAAGAATTTGTCACTTCTGTGTTTCTCAAAATAAATATAGGGCATATTTTGGAGAGGCACTCGACTCCCTCGCCTGAGGTGCCTGAGGAGATAAGGTGGCAAGTTTCTGCTTAAATTAACCCAGGCAAGGCGAGATCCTAAGGCGACTCCTAGGCGTGTCTCTAATGCCTTACTCCTTTGCCTGCCACCTTACATAACTTACATGCTAGGCCGATTTTTTATATTAAAAAAACTTTGGTTCACAATGCTAACCCTATCGACTTGAAAAGGCAACTTCCGGTCTACCTTGATTAATTATTTCATATAGTGCTTATTTTGTATAGTGTATTAATTAGTTTATTTAAAATTTTCTCATAACAGATTTTGTTCTTTGTTAATCGGTTTAAGTGTTTTTATCTTAATTAGTTTTTTTAAAAGACATTTATATTCTTTATTTCTCTGTTTATTTTCTTTGGTCATTTTCAAAGTCACAACTGAGTTGTGGGATCCAACTAGGTTGTTATACCACTTGGGTATTTATAGAGAGAGACAACATCCATCCGTCTGTCCGTCCGTCCGTACATATTGCCTTTTGACCGGCTGATCGCCCACCTCTCTCCCTCAAAATCTACCACTTGATTCTTGCCTTCCAAAACTATGGGATAGAGATTCCATTGAATTCATATATTCCTCTTCACCAATAAGATCAAAGACTTTGCATTTTAAAAATGCATAAGACTACTTATCCTGGATAAGTAACTGAACATTCTGATATTCTGGGAAAACGACTATGGTTACTAAATACTAACTTATTTATTGAATAAATAAACTGAATTATAAAGTGCTAATTGAGAAACTAGTTCATAAAGAGATGGCTATGACTATGCTCAATGAGGCCAAACCCCCTAAATATATTTGGGCAGGAAAGTTCCGATGCACATTCTTATCTTTGTGAAATAACAAAAGAATCTCCTTTAATGTGCAGTGAAGTAGCACTACAACAAAAACTTATTGCAGCATGCAGTCTAGAGTAACATGCTATAAGAAGAAATATAGTACGGAGTAATAAACAATCGCAAAATGAGTACAAAATCACATGAACAGTAAAATAATAGGGATCGTTACATACGGTTCACAAACCGATGAATAAATAGGCTAGGGTCTACAGGCTTTTGAACAATTGGGTGCTCTTCAAGGCTTAGAAGTTTGCAGAGCTGTAAGAAGACAGCGCCTAATACGTACCTGGAACTCAATGGAATTTTAACAAGAATAAATTTCAAAGGTTCATGTACGAATATTAAACAAGTACTCAGATATTATAGTAAACCAAACAAAACAAACACAACAAACCGGAAATATCTGACTCAAAGGTAGGGTCTAGGGAGCTAGATGGAAGTATGCCTTACCCCTACTGCAAGGTGCAGAGAGGCTGTTTGCAAGAAGACCCCGGCAACCCATTAAAAGTAGGGTGAGTGGTGCTAAAGAATTAAGGAAATAGTCGTGTGCATAAACAAATGTTGTCAGATGTCACTTTTGTCATTTGAGTAAATTGTGAAAAGTGAAAACAGTATTGATGGAATAAAGAATAATGACTCTTTAAACTGTCGGCGCTTCTTTCAATTGTGAAGTAGCAGTTAGTCAATGCAACTTTCGATGCTCACCGTGTTTCATCTGGAAACAGTCACTCTATGTTTTAAACGTAGGGGTCAGACTGCGTACATCCGATCCCCCTTACCCCGCATTGGAGAGCCATTGAGGCACTAGGGTAATGTTGTTGTAATATTGATTTGCACAAATATCGTATACTCACATATAGGACAAAACTGAAACTCCTACTATTGGAAGTCTATAGAGAAGCTGACATACACATTTATCCGTAAGTACTCAGAAAAATCAATGAGAAGATAAGGCTTTTTCATTTCCCTGCAAAAAAAAAAAATTGATTTACCCAATAAAAGATAAGCTTCAACTGTCACATAAATCAGATAGATACTGCAGTTCCCTGACTTTACACAAAGAAAGAATCATTTTCCTTAATTGCATATAAAAGTCATTCCTCTAAATGCTTTGGAGGCAGTGTTTTATTGGCTAAACTGTCATTTATGAACCATACAAGTGCATTATTGTTCCTGCAACTTAGACCTAGTGAAGTGTCCATAACACATAGTAATATTTGATGTTGTATATACATGTATACTATATATTATGTACTTCTAACATACATGTGGGCAGTCTCCATCTGTGTGTGTGTGTGTGTGTTTTGCAGTGTTTTGGTCATACTTGTTCTGTATCTATTTATAAACTAACTGAATTATGGTATATATAATTTGCATATCAGCATATGTATTTATTATGTTGCATAGTTCCATATTCTAATCCTTTTGGTATCAATTTATTCACTCTTTGTTCATTGTGTTAACCAAGCAGGTCATTACAAAAGCTTTACAAACGCATCGAATATGATATTAGTATATTACCATACCTGCTCCGTTTAATTTTATCGGATATCGAATTCAGATCTTCCCGGATGGTTAAAATATCCGCATCCACCAAATACTACGGAGTGTGTGCGTGTGTGCTATACATACAGAGGAGAGATAATCTTAACAACAATTTTTTACAAATCTTACAACATTTATCTTTCAATTAGATTTTTTTTTTTGCAAAGCCCACCATGGGATTGAAAGTTACTAACTCATAGATTGTCATCCTAGAATTTCACAAATTTCAAAGGTGGTGGTGGGGGGGGGGGTGTTTAAACTAATAAATGCTATGAAAATGTGATATACCAAAACTACGTCTAAAAATGAAGTCAATTATATTGAATTTACATTATAGGTAAATATTTTTTCACAATTTGTGGTCAATGTGACCAAAAAAAGTCCAATTAGGACAATAATTTTGGGACAGAGGGTGTGTGTATAGGAAATCTAATCTTACACCAACTTTTTCTTACAACAGTTATATTTTTTGCTCGAATTGTTTTCACTTGAAACCGACCGTAGGATTGAGCATTAGTACCACATAGATCACCCTTGTAAAGTTTCACAACTATCCAAAGGGTTAGTTTGTCGTGAATCATGACATCTAAAATCAAGATAATATAATATTCTAAATATTAGGTTCCTTGATTCATGACGAACCTACCGATAGATTGTTGTGAAACTTTACAAGCGTGATCTATGTGGTACTAACTTTTAATTTCCAATCCTATAATCTCTTTTCAACATAATATAATATTCTAAATATTAAGTTCTTTGATTTATGATGAACCTACCGTTAGATTGTTGTGAAATTTTACAAGGGTGATCTATGTGGCACTAACTTTTAATTTCCAATACTATGATCTATTTTGAGTGAAAACAATCGGAGTAGAAGCCATAACCGGCATAAAAATAAGTGTAAGTAAAAAATGTTTTGCAGCGACGACAGAGATGCTTATCGCTTGTCCACCATATGCGGCTCTGCTATTGCACACATCGAATTCCGGAGCAAAGCTTGAGGGTTTAGCCTTTGTAAGAATAGAGCTTCAAATTTCCGGGACGTAGACAAAATTGCTAAATGATAACTTAAAATCTCTTGCCGGCGAGGAGAGGCCCAATTCTACCAGAGAACATAATAGAGCTTTGAATAAGCAAAGCTCGAATCGTCGTGTAGGGTTACGCTCAATTGTTCTTCAAAAATATTGGGTCGAAATTCCTCCCATTTCCACTTGAGCAGTCTTTGTCAAAGCAAAAAAGTGAGGGCAAATTAGTCTTTTCCTTCTCTTATTCCATTCACCTTGGTCTACGAGCCAAAATCGAAGAGGACGAAAACACTGGGACGGAGGGAGTATATAACCAAATGATTACTCAAAGGGATGACCTTGTGGATGGATGCTAAACAGATCGAATAAGATTTCTAAATGCGCATCTGTTTACCAATCGGATGTCTTTAAACAAATACAGATAGTAACAGTTTTAAAGAAATGAATAGTTTTCATATAAATGGATACAAAGGTGAACGGAAATTAAATTTTTGGTTACCCATATACACCCATAAGAAAGAGACATGATGTTATTGTGAGGGGCAAAAGGCTTGCGGCAAGGAATTTAAGGATGTAAACAAAAACATGATGATTAGCACATATTGACCCATGGTCTAGTTAGCGGGACATCAATCTTCCTCGCGGGGATTTGACTCGGTGTAGAACAACTGGATTTATATTCCTTGTGGGTACGGGCTAGTTTATTATTAATCGACCGTGGGTTTCCTCGAGGAATAAATCCGGTGAGCTCCATCTACTATATTCTTAAGAGTCAAGGCATGTTAGTAAAGAAAAAATAAGCAACGCAGGAATGAAGTTATGGAAAGGGGAATACTGATTTTTTTTTTTGCACAGAAATACTATCTTTTATATCACTCCAATCAAACTTTTTACAAACAGTAATCAAATACCTTTCTAGTCTACTACTTTTTGCAACATAACAGTTTGTAAAATAAATTTAATACTAGCTAACATCTCTTCTTCCTTCATTTCTTTTTGATGAATTTTAGCATTTCGGGCTTGCCATACAATGTAACAGACAGCCCTCCAAGCTGCCATGGCTATCTCTCTTCACCTTGCCCCCTGCATCTTCATTGTTTTCTCACCAAAATCTTTAAGATTTGCACCTTCAATCTTGTAGTTCAGCCAACCAAACACCTGTGTGTAGATTCTTTGTGTGACATCACACTTATAAAAGAGATGTTCTATGTTTTCTTCTCCCTTTTCACATAGTATACAACCAGTGTCAATGTTCATGTACTTTTTCAACCTCTCTTTTGTTTGGATTCTTCCCTTCATTATCATCCAGAAAATAAATCTATGCTTTGGGACCCCTTGTTTAATCCAAACCCATTTATGCCAATATGGGGGTTCATGTTTACCCATGAGCCAATTATATCCCTTCCTCGTATCAAACCCTTCATTTTTGTCCCATTCAGCAAACTCCTGTCTGATTTTGATCATCCTTCTCCAATAGTGGCAGCTGTTTGGAGTAGGGGTGTAGTCCCAAAAGTTGGTGTTTTTCAGGTATTTGGAATGTATCCAACGTACCCACAGGACCTCCTTTTCATGGGCAATGTCCCAATTCAGCTTCATAATGTTCGCCTTGTTCCACATAATCGCATTTTTCAGCCCCAGCCCCCCTGCCCTCTTTGGCATACACACATCCTCCCATATGACAGGTGGGGCTTTCTTGTATTCTGCTGTACCACCCCACAAGAAGTTCCTGCATATGTTGTTTATCTTTTTCAGCACTTCTTTAGGAAGGATAAAGATCCTTGACCAGAATGAGATAATACCCGTGAGTACAGAGTTGATCAAGCTAACTCTCCCAGCATAAGAAATGTTCTTGGATCTCCAACATGTTATGTTAGCAGCCATTTTCTCCACTAGTTTATCACAGTCCCTGCTTGTAATTCTTGATGCTGTGATCGGACTTCCTAAATAAGTGAAAGGCAGCCTCCCCTTAGGTATATTTGTGATCTCCAGTAAGGTCCTCTGAGTTTCCTCTTTGCACCCTCCAAATACCACTTGTGATTTTTCCTTGTTTATTCTTAGGCCGGTGCTTCTCCTGAATTTATCTAATGTATCCATAATGCTTTGGATAGATCTTGAATCGGCTTTGCTTGCAATGATCAGATCATCAGCAAATATCAAATTAATCACTTGAAGAGATGCACACATAGGGTGAAATCTGAAACCCCTTTCCTTAGCTTGGTGATGGAGTAGCCTGGTAAGATATTCCATTACCAAAGTAAAGAGAAGAGGGGATAGTGGGTCTCCCTGCCTCAGTCCTTTCTCCCCCTGAAAAAAACCATGATTCTCTCCATTGACCATCAGTGTATAGCTTGGTGTGGTAATGCAGAATAAAACCCATTTCATGAACTTTTCAGGGAAGTTCATCTTAACCATAATCTGCTCAACGGCCTGCCAACTAATAGAGTCATATGCTTTTTGAATGTCAAGCTTTATTAAACATCTTGGAGAAATGTTCTTTCTATTGTATCCCCTCGTTAACTCTTGGCACATTAACACATTATGGAGTAATTCTCTCCCCTTGACAAAAGCCCCCTGGTTCCAGTCAATGATCCCAGGCAGTATCTTTTTCAGCCTGCTGCTCAGGATTTTAGAAATGACCTTATACACCACATTGCAGCATGCAATAGGTCTATAGTCTGCTGGGTATTTGGGGTTATCCTTCTTAGGTATGACAGTTATGCTTGTAGTATTCACTTGTTTCAAAGTTTTATTAGCTTGGAAAAACTCCATAACAGCCTCTGTGACTAATCCCCCCACTTGTCCCCATTGGGTTTTGAAAAAGCCACTGTTATACCCATCTGGACCCGGGCTCTTCATATTGGGAATATCAAACATTGCTTCCTTAATCTGTTCGGGGGTTACTTCTTCTATGAGTGCCAGTTGTTGGTCAGTTGTCAGGATTTTCCCCCCTCTTATAACCTCTGTGTCAATCTCCTCTACCTGATTCTTTGTGCCCAGGAGTTGGTGGAAAAATCTTATCATTTCCCCAGCAATCCCTTCAGTGTCTTCAATCCTATCCCCCTTATTGTTGTAAATACATCCAATATGATTTTGAATCTTTCTTTTCTTGATCCAGGCATGGAACATCCTAGAGTTCAGGTCACCCTCTTTAACCCAAGTTTGTTTCATAATCTGGCATTGCATTTTGTGAGAGTTCTTCAATTTCATTTGAAAATCTGCTATCAGTTTCCTCTCCTCAGTTATTAGTGTGGTATTAAAAGGATCATTCCTCAGCTCCTTTTGGATTCTAGCAACTTCCTCTCTGGCCAAATCACATTGATCCTGTATATTACTAAACTTCCTCCTGTGCAGTATCCTCAGAGGTTGTTTCAGCATCTTTAGCTTTTGGGTAAGCTGGTACATCTTCCTTCCCTCTATATTAGAGTTCCAAACATCCTTCAATATCTTAGGGAACTCAGGGTTTGTGATCCACATGTCACAGAATCTAAAGATCTTTTTGGCACATGAAAAATCTACTGGGATTAAGATAAGCGGTGAATGGTCAGATATCCCTTCCTCCAACACTCTAATTTTTGCATTATTGTTGATCAACCATTCATTATTTGCAAAAGCCCAATCTAACTTTGATATAATTCTGTTCTCTGCCATTTGTTTGTTTGTCCAAGTGTAGTAGGCTCCTTCTTTAGGGATTTCTTCCAATTCACAGAAATTTAAGCATTCTCTGAAATCCATAGTTTCCTCCAGGCTAATTTGCAGGCCACCCTTCCTATCATCAGTTCCAAGTATAGTATTAAAGTCCCCCATTAAGCACCAAGCTCCACTAGTCTGTGCATACATGCCCTTTAAGAACTGCCATAAGCTCTTCCTTGCTCCATTATCATTGTGTCCATATATAAAGGTAACATCCTCAGTATGAGTTTTGCCTATCCATCTGACTCTACAATGAACTGCTTGGTCACATGCTGCTAGTACGTTAACTTCAGCTTTCCTTTTATCCCATATAACCCAGACTCTCCCGAGGGGATGATACTCATTATTAATAAAGTATTCCCAGTTTTCCAGGAACTTCTCCTTTATTTTGGCATATCTATCCTGCCTTATTTTGGTCTCCAAAACTCCCATCAGAGCAATAGAGTGTTTATTAATAAATCGTTTTAATTCTACTTGTTTATTTGGGCTATTAAGCCCCCTTATATTCCAGCAACTTATCATGATAAGAAAGGGTAGTGTCCCATATAAGGGCCTTCCATCAAGGATTTATGTATCTGAATACCATAAGCCTTCTCATACTCCTGGTCTTCCAGATATAGTTTCCTATTAGCTTTCTTCTTACTGACCTCTGTGAATTCCCCTTCTTCCTCTGCAGTACCCAAGTCCTTATCAGCAGGTATTGTTTTTTCTTCTTCTTCTTTTTGTGCCTTTTCCTTTCCCTCTTCTTTTGCTTCTTCTTCCTTATTTGGGATATCTTTTCTTTTCCATACCATCTTCTTCCTTTCACCTGTTTTCTTCCTGCACAGATTTTCTGGATGCCCAATTGCTTTACAGTGAGTACATGAGATAGGGTACCACTCATATTTCAGTCTGTGTTATGATCCTTCCTTTATCATCTTCAAACTGTACTTCTTCAGGAAAATGTTGCTTCATACCAATCTCTATCTGTATTCTAGCATAATTCAATCTGGTTTTCCCAATTGTTGTTTTGTCAGCTTTAATCGGGTTACCTATAAGGGTTCCAATCTTGCTTAGGCCAGAGATGCTCCAAAATTTGGGATCCAGATCTGGCAGTTGGATCCAAATTTGGGAATACTGATTTTTACATGTGTGAATATGTGAATTTTTTTGTGATTTTTTATAGTTGTGTTGTGTACCAGTCTCGAATTTGCTAAGCATGTACATTGTTTGTATACAAGTGAGAGGGTTGATGTTTCAGCGAGAACTCACAACTATGAAACAATGGGATGGTCTTTGCATTTATTGCATAACCGCAGTTTTTACCTTTGCTATATTGGAGAAGTTTATTGTAATGCGATTTTTTGTCTTAGCTTCCACAAAGCGTTTGGCCTATTTGGATGACCATTGATTTTGAGTCAGATTTTAAATATGTTGTATGCTTGGAACATGACTCGGGTCCTGATTTTAAGTTTTGACTGCAAAACTACTTCATGCGCCCCATAAAGGACTTCTCACTTTGACTTTAGAGAGACTAAGAAAAGTGTTGAAAAGATATTGAAAACAAATTGAATTGTGAAAATAAGTGGTTATAACTTGTTTATAAAAGAAATATTTTGGACCACTAGTTCTTTTCTAAGAAGGGAAAGAAACTAGAGAAAGTGAGTATATTGGAACGGATGAAAAAGGAAAGTGGGAAATCCTTTGTGGGACGGAGGGAGAACCTATGAATTACAATCAAGAGTTTTCAAGTCATTACTACCATGATAATCATTATCTCCCATCCCCTTGTCATCTTCCCCCCTTTCACTCGCACCCCCTCCTCTCACCCACCCCACCCCTTCTTTATCACTCCTCCCGCGTCCTCACATCACACACCACTCATTGTCGCATACTCCTCCCACTTTCATGTCCCCCATGCTCCCTAATGCTATCCCTCCGTTGTCCCTGACCCCATCCCACCCACCTGGCCACCCCATCCCATCATATGACAAGTTTCTTAGATCTAATAAAATAGTTGTACACATTGTTGAATGCAAATCATCAATATCCAAACAACATCAAACCACAATACTTTTGAATCATAACCATCCATATTACAATACAAGTCACAAATTACAAATCTTGACTATAATCACCAACTTAGTGAGTATTTTGTAATCATTGTCCAAACAAGCCCTTAAAAACTATATTGAGCAATGACAATGTGTTCAATTTTGATAATTCGATGAGTTCTTGAATTTGATAAACAATTTCAAAATTTGGGTTTTCAAAAAACAATTGTTGTTTTGAAGTGTTTCAAGGATGAATATGGTGAGGCATTAGTTGATGATGTGTGTAACGCAGATGACAAGCATATTCCCTAAGCGCTTCACTAAAGGGAGCCGAAGATCATGCTGGGGGAGTTAGAGTTTTCTATGGGGATGTTCAATAGCATTTACACGAACTGAATTGAATTGAACGGATTCGAGTGTAATTTTAAAATAAGCAGTATTAAACTGAACTAAATAAAAAGGTACTGAACTGACTCAACTGAGTAGTACTAAAAATATGGGGTCACCTAGACTCGAAGGTAATTCACGTAGAGAAGACAAAGGTGGCAGATATGAGAATGCTCTGTTGGATTCATTAAACTCAAGATAAAGCATCTTTAAATAACTTCATGCAGTTACTCACCTACAAGTAATGTAAAGACACGCCGCCTGAACTTGCTCCTTTCTGCGTCCCTGGGTGAATTTTCGATCAAGTGCTATCTACACATCGAGGATAATTTCAAAGATTAAACCATCCAACAGTTCATAACAATAGAATTTGCATGAATTATGCAGTATCATGGATCATACCGTATAAAAGTTTAAAGCATGATTGGCTATAGAATCACCACCATCCATTCCAAGTGCATACACCATGCCTTCTATACCTTCATAAGCTGCAAAACTCACGAGTGGGGAAAGGAAGATAAAGAGGAAAGGCATCAGTTCACAAACGAACTCTAGTACAATTATGCACTAACTTTTACAATTTAAAAGTGTTTTAAGAACAATAGACATCAAAACTTAGGATGTTACAAAAGACACTACGTAAATTACTACTAACAATTAGAACTATGATTATACATCACCTATTAAAGATGTGTCTTCTATTTCCCCAATGTTTCTTGGTGACATGACTATACTTTGGCCTCAATAATATTTCTATATGTGAGGATTCTATATTGAAGCACATCAATGAAATTAAAATCAAAGGTTAAAGTATAAACATTGGTGAATTCATTGGGTGAGATATTTCGATGGAAGCAAGTTCTTTAGAATCATATTGTGTTACACCCTACAAATAGAACACAACAACACAATATCATCCAACCATATGTGGATTATACTAGCCTTTGTATGTGCAATGGATCTTTTAGATAACAATATGTGGATTATACATTGTTGTATTTACTACCCAAAACCTTGGTAGTCGAGATCGTGATATAGCCTTTAGATAGTAGAATTGTACGACTTTACGTGATAGGGAGTTGTGATTGTAAGTTTACTGAGATCGTACAAATCGCTCCATAGACGCGTAGAAGCTCTATGGTCGCTGATTTTTTTCTTATCCATCAAAATCTTCCCTGGCAGTAAAAAACATGTCAGAAACAGTGAGTGTCACCCCTCTTGCACTCCTAAGGTTAATTCGTCCTTCCTCTCAAACTCTCCCTTTTATGTCTTCTTTAATTATATATAGCCCAGGTATGCTTTCCTACCTGGCCAGATTAGTTATACAATCATACTGTACATCCCCATATTCGTCCTTTCAAGAATGCATGATATAGTGTGTGTGAGCATCTGTGAGTGTGTAATTGTGTGTGTGTACTAGTATTTATTAAAGTACGTGCATAGGATCTTACTGTACGTGGTGCGATCTTATGATTAACAATCATCAATTCTTTACCCGACCTTACGTATAATCTCGACTTTGACTTCTGTATGTGCTACGATCTTATGATTAACAATCATCAATTCTTTACCCGACCTTACGTATAATCTCAACTTTGACTTCCTCACCCAAAACTTCATCAAAAGTTTCATGGGACGTTTAATGTGATGTCCTCATTTGGGCAATTATTTACTAATTTACCCCAAGCTAGGGGTAGGATATGTAAGGAGGGTAGTGGTTGACCGAAGAAGAGTTGGGGCAAAGTGATTAAAATACTTGCAACTTAAGGGGCTCACCTAGACCCTAAAGTTATAGCAGCTTTTGGTGATCGACGATTACATTTGTAAGGTAGGACTATATAAGGGGTGGTTCTCGTTGTGAGAATGGCTTTGAGTTCTAGTTAGACATAGTCCTGGTTTACCTTTACCAACTTTGGTTTATCATTTTGTCTTTTGGTTTCCCTTCATATGTGGATTATACTAGCCTTTGTCTTGTCCTTTTTGTTCTCTTGGTGTTTGAGTAGTGGATCTTTCAGAAATCGCCTCTCTACCTTTTCTAGGTAGGGTAAGGTCCGCGTACATCCCTCACCACACCCAACACCTCACTGCCCATTCGTGGGACTTTACTCGGATGGTTGTTGTTGTTGTATTTACCAAAAGCTAAAACATTGTCAATAATGTCTCTTTTCACTCCATTGGCTATGAAAGCCTACAAACATAAAACATGCCCCACTATTGTGCGTACTGCCTCCCATTGTGATGCATAGTGAAATAAGAAAAATATCAAATATACATTTGAAAAAGCATGGCGCCCAAACATAGTCACCTAAATCGTGGTACGTTCCGGTACGGGTATGCTGTTCGGGTACGAAATATGCTAGAGGTGACAAATTTGGTACGAAGGGGGGTAGGCTCGTTTTGGTACGAAGCGGTATGGTGTACCATGTATTCGGTTTGGTGTACCAAATGTCAAAACATAAGTAAAAAAAATTTGGAATATCAATATATATAACTAAAAAAAGGTTAGTAGAAAAAATATGGCAAAAAAGAAATTAGAAGCTAGTTGAGCCCAATAAGAATTTGATCCCAAAAGAGAAAATAGAAGCTATTGTGCTTTTTATTAAAAGCAGTAGCGTAGAAGTAGACAGTTGCTTCCGTCAAAACCTAAGGGTTGAGTAGTTTCTTTTTCGGAAATCATTTCTGTTGATCGCAATCCCAGCCGCAGATCCAGACGATCTCTATTCCCAATCTCTCTCGGGATCTCAATCGCAAACTCGGGCGACTCCAGGCGATAGTACAGATCTGGAAGTACAGTTGCAGGAAGACCCCCATCAGTAAAGCCCAACCGTCTTAACCGTACAGATCCGGATCGCGGTTTTAGTACGCTGTACCGCCGACGTTTGGATCGCGATCGAATTCCGATTGGGTAAGCCGCGTACCAATACAGAAGACGCGGCTGTAGCAGCGAATTCTGTGACAATGTGCGCAAAGAGAAACACTCTAAACATGTAATCTAGTCTAGTCATGTAGTAATCACAATGAGAATGTACATGTTTTAAAAAGTACAAAATTTGCTCATCATCTTAGCAAAAGTGCAAACTGCAAAACAAGTAAGGCAGGATTTGATACCATCCTTCAATGTTCTATCCCGTGAAGCTGAGAAATGACTTTGCACAGATCTCACAAAACGTCCTGCCAATGAACACTAAAATTAATTGCACGTTAGTTTTCTAATAGAACACATGTTTACCTTTTCATGTGTGCCTGCAAGTGATGCAGCTAGCAATCCATTCATCTAAAACAATCAACCGATTGGTGTACCTAACCATCTACTATGAGGAATGTTTCTTTAGTGACATTGCGTTTTGTTCAAGGGTTCAAGAATCCATTTCTTAGCAAGAATGTTTTTAAGCTAAAATACTTCAGGTTTCAAGATGTTGTATTGCACGCACACATAAACACTAAGAAGCTACAGTCAGACACCCATGTACGCACACAATACCAATATTCCATTCTTAAACCACACATGTTTGCCTATAAATGACTACTTAAATTTGTGTCCTTATTCTTTTATTTGGATGTCTTTCAAAATTGGAAGTTCAATACATGAAATGATATTTTTAAAAAAAACTAGAAATGTCATTGCCTAGTGTGGATGGAGCTGCAAAGTCATGCTGGTCAACCAGTGTAAGCAGCCACACAGAGCTCAATATGTCAAAAGTAGAGATACAATCATACAATCCAAGGATAATACATGAATGTGTATAACAGTTCTTATACACTGCAGGTAAGCAGGTGTTCTAAAAAAATTAACGGGTGGGCCTTAACTGTGGGTAGAGCTGAAATGAGATACATTTACGTGCATAGGCCTCATTTCTGTTTGAGTCTTTTGTCAAATTGTTTAAAGTGTAAATAGAGATCCAGAACTGAAAGAATCATGTGTCTTATTTCTGTTTGGGTCTTAGGTCAAATTGTTTATACATATTGTAGTCAAGGTTAACATGCACAGCAAAGCATAAAATAGAAATCATGAATGTTTACAAGAAAGTTTCCCCAGCGATGGAGATTTTTAATGAAATAACTGAACAGCTTCTGCGAAGAAAAATGCACCCAATCGGTACATGAAATCATATACACTAAAGAAGAGTGGAACCTGTCCGCTGGCATCTTTAACAAACGTAGGACCTGACACTAAATTGTCTTCACTAAGGACTTTCCCACACAATGTACAACATCTGTTATAAGATTAATAAAAAATATAAGCACGTGAATAGAAAACCAAATACCGGAGAAGGAAAAACTACTTTCAGAGATAGAGAGCTAAGAATCTCACGATCTGCCATCGGACTGGTCGGCATGGACATATTGTCCACAATTGTCACAAAACACCATGCCCACTGATACAAGAACACCAACCTGAATCAAATCCAATCAACTCCCTGAAACAATTTAAATTAAACCAGGAAATCAGGGCTTGCTTCGTGATCAAAACATTGCTGGAATATCTGAAACAAAAGTTTTTAGGGAAAACTGAAATAAATTCATCGTCTAAGTATATGTTGTCTGCTCTTTGGTGACTAGTTATTCAACCAAATTCTAACAAAGCCCGGTGGAGCTTCCGGAGGGAGCGGTTTCTATTCTGTGGATTATGTTTGCTAAAGTTATAGCCGGAAGATGGAGAAAAGGTAGAAGATGAAAGCGTACCTGGTGGCTGGCCAGCGACGAGGAGCGCTGGAGCGAAGAGCCGCCGGCACGAAGCCTATCTATAGCCGGAAGACAAGCGCAGCAGAAGGTTGGTGAAATGCAAGTATGTAGGGAAGAAAGGGTTTTGTGATTATGCAGAGAGGCGGTTGCAATGCGAGAAATTTGATGCACAATTTTGCTCAATCCCTCAAATTCTGTCTCGTAGTTTTAAATTTTAAATTGTATTTTAAAATAAACTTAATTTCGAGTTTAAAAAAATGATTTTAATATATTTAATTTATTTAGAAGTTTCAAAAATTTATTTCATTGTATTAATATACAATACAAATTGAGAGTAATTGATGATTTAAATACACCGTACAATAAGTGTTCTAAATCAATAAAAGATTGTACTAGGAGGCCCCCAAATAGATGTCTCTATATAGGCGTCTCGTGCCTTGTACAGACCCGCACAGACAATAATTGTCTATGTGTGTCTTTGCAAGGCAGGGAAGCGCCGTCATCCACTTAGGAACACCCTAGCTTTATTCATAGATAAAATTGTGGACATTTGACATAGAATGAGTCGTTCAATTGGTGAATGAGGTTGAAACAAAGTTAATTACTCACTTCGTCTTGGATTATCTTCCTTCTTTACTATTTTAAAATTATGAAAGTTTTTTTTGTGTAAAAATACTTTTATCGCTGTTTGATTTGTAGAACTTTTGACATATTTTTTAAATATTTAATTTTTTAATTATATATCAATTTTTAAATAAAATAAATGAAGTGAAGATAAGTATAAGAGGGAGTAGTGCTTTTATTGAGTATTTCTATGTTAGCTCTTTGTGGACCTTCTCATAAAACAATGTTTTTCATTTAGAGTGTTTCTTTAGGTAGCTCATATTGGCGCTCCACTAATGTTAGAGTAGTGGAAATGGGGCTGACGCCAAGGGCGCCATGGGGCGTTTAACGCCTCTTCGGCGTTAAACACTGCCCCCTAGGGGCGTTAGCCGTTGCACATTTTTAAAAAATCTTTAATTAATTTTTTTATAAATATCAAACTCAATCTTCAATCTTATTCACATCTTTCCTTTATTCAATCTTCAATCTTTTTCACATCTTTCCTTTCTTCAATACTCCCTCCGTCCAAAATTAAAGTTCCCACTTTCCTTTTCGGTCTGTCCACAAATAATGTTCCCATTTCCTTTTTTAGTAATTTTTCTCTATCAAAATGTCTAAAGTACCCTCCACATTATATTTGTTTCCTTATCTCCTTGCCACACCCTCCCCATTTCTCTTTCTTTCTTTTCCTTTTCTTCTTCTCCTTTCTTCTTCTTCTTTCCTTTTTTTCTTCTCCTTCCGATTCTTCTTCTCTGTTTTTTCTTCTCTTTTTTTCTTGTTCTTCTTTACTTCTTCCTCTCTTTTCTCCTCCCCCCTCCGATTTGTTCTAACGACTTATTTTTTCTTTTGTTTTTTTTCTTTCTTTTCTTCTCCCCCTCCCACTCTTCCGATTTGGTCCAGCCGCCCTCCATCTTCATCTCCTCTTCTTTTTTTCTTCTTTCTGATTCAATCGCTCATATCTTTGTCAGATCTTAGAAGTCCGATTCAGATCTGTAAGGAGAACATCGGTGATGAAGGATCTTCTTCACCTTCTTCTTCAAATGTTTTTCATCTTCTTCACATCTTCTTCTATTCTTCCACCTTGGTGCGGGAATAACTCGATTTGGCTTGAAAGGATGCCCATGATGATTCTAAAATATTAGGTTGGGAGAAATTTCTCTTTGGCCGGAAATTTCATAGTTTTGGATTGCAAGACTTTTTTTTCTGGCCGGTTCTGATGGTTGAGCGGCGGTAATTTGGGCAGGAAAAGCAGGATAGGAATGGATGGGGTAGTGGTAAAGTGGGGGTATTTTGGGAAAGTCAATGTAAATTTCAACTTTTATTAAACTCCGTGCCCGGTCAAAGCGGGAACATTAATTTTGGAGGGAGGGAGTATTTGTTAACATGATTCCCTCTGATTCTTCCCCCGACGGTCTTGAGCCAAACGAGTACGCGACGTGGATCTTCCAACAATACGTGAGTAATCCGGCGTTGTTCGAAACGCAAACCTCGATTAACTTCGATGATACTAAGTCAGCTCCGGAGACTCAACCGGAACCATCGCGAGCCAGAAAAAGTTCAAATCAGAAGAGTCACAGAGTGAAAGGTGACAAACCGATGACCGAGGCGGCACGGTCTATCCAAAAGTGGATGCCAAAGGAAGAGTCCTTGTTGGCATCGGCTTCCCTGTATTTCTGAAGGACGAGCGTATGAAAGAAAAGGGGATGTCTCCGAGCATCCTATCGTTGATAAAAATTATATGTTTTCTAGTATATTTGTATTCTTATTTATATATTTGTGTTATATATTTCTGATAAAAAAAAATTTGTTCAATTATATACTTTTTAAAGGTTCGGAGCAAACGAAGGATGCGATGTGAGATCGTATCGAGGAGAAGTTCCTTGTGGCGATGAACAAGGACGCCTCGTACCGTGCCCGGGACCAACTCACTTTCAAATGGGGTCATATCAACCATAAAGTCCGAAAGTTTATTAGAGTTTACGAGGAATGCTCTCGATCCCGGAAGAGCGGGACGAACGACGCCGATGTTCTCTGGCTTGCCACGGCCCGGTATCAAGACGATGGGCACCAAGGCAAGGTGCCCATCGATCAATGGAGAATTTTAAGCCGTTCGGCGAAATGGCAACAATTGAAAAATCTCGAGGCCGAATCCTCAAAGGAAAGATCCTCTGTCTACGCCGAAGTTGAGGTCAATGATACTATCGGTTCATCCGAACAAAGGCCTCCCTTTAACGCAGACGATTCCGATGACGAGGATCCCATTTCACGGTTGATCGGAAGAAAGAAGGCAAAATCCATTGCCTCGGGTTCTGGAGGCTCCGGTTCTGTTTTTACTCACGACGATATCGACCGGGCAATGGTTAAACAACTTCGGGTGTTCAATATTAGAGAAGAAGAGAGGGGGAGAACAAAGCAACAGAAGGAAGAGATCGAAATAATGGAAACCAACCTTGATACGTTATCGGACTTCAAACATATGATCTTCGAGAGAAGACAAAAAGAGATCAAGGCTAAATATAATTACCTTAGTTTTTTATTGATGTATTTTTTTTATTAAATGTTTTTTTTATTGAATATAATTTTTATGAATTATTGTCGTTTTAATATTTTTAATTTAATAAATGTAATTCTTTTATAATTATTCTCGTTCCAATTTAATTAAATAATTAAATAATTAAATTTTATTAATTTAGTTTTAGAAGATGTTCATTTAAAATGTAAAAAATAAAGGTTTGAAGCCTGAGTTTGAAGCCCCTGGGCTTCAAACCCATTTCCAGTGAATCTGTGAGGTAAGTTAAAGCTGACGTGACAAAAAGAGAAAGTTTGAAGCCCCGGTTTGAAGCTCGATCATGAGTATTTCCAGTGCTCTTAGTGGCATTCCACTTTGCCTTTTTATTGTCAAAAGTTTACAATCTTGCCCTTCTAGTAGTAATTGTTGTTGCCATTGCCACAAACAAATTGTTATTCGTACTACCTAATCAACTTTTACATTCTACTAGTATTAACCTCGTATTTCGCATGGGCTTGCATATTTTTAAATTTTGACATCTAAAAAATAAAGTATTATTTATTTTAAATTGTCTAATGATATATGATGTGTTTGATAAATGTTTTCTACCTATAACACATCTCTTCTCAGAGAAAAGTTTTAGTTTTAAAATTTATGTACATGTACTAAAATTTATATAACCCCTTTATTTTGAGATATAATAAAAGAGAAAAATGATGAATACTTTATTAGAAATAACATCAGGCGTTGTTTTTTAAAAGATTAACAAATTTTATAATATTTTTTAGATATATAACTAATTATGTATGAAACATATTTTAAAAAATATATCTTAAAATGGTGTAACATATAAACTCTAAATGAATACAAATTAAATACAGTTTTAAATAAATAAATGTCATAAAAACTTGATATATGAACTGTTGGATACATTTTTTCTAAATTTACATTATAATTAAATATAATGTACTTTTTGTATACTTTGTGGTCAAAGTATAGAGCAACTTGACCAAAAATATCAAATTGTTATCAAATGAAATAATAGTGAATATTGATTTAATTATTGAAAAAATAAAATAAAAATGCCAAATAAACCAATTAAGTAATGATAAAATATTGAAAGATATGTATGTGGTATTGGTATATGACCTATATGCCATGTGTTATCCTTCAACAAAAACAAATTTAGTTTATTGAATTTAATTTGTTGAAATATTATATAAAAAAAATTAATAATGTTCCAGAAAAACATTTTGAAGTAAAATATATAGTTAATAAAATATAGTTATCTCTTAGAAATAACAAAATAAAATAAATGGTTGAATCTTTTCAAAAATATATAAAATGTTAGTTTTTTTAATTAATAAAGTTATAATACTTTTCTTTGAATGAATTAATCATATAATTATGCATATTTAAAAATAGATATGTTATAATATTGAAATATATATTTTTCTAATAGTTAAAAAGTGAAGAGTTTTATAGAAAATAATAAACATAATGATTATTTAAAAAAGTAAATGATTTTATAACCACTTAATAAAGATAATGGTGATTTAATGTTAGAAAGTGAAAGCTTTTAACATATCAATAAATATAATACTTATTTAATGTAAAAATAAGTACGCACACTTGACAAAACATGTGACAAGGTGTACACGGCTAGCGTGAAAAGTTTATACAAAATTAATCTTCATTGATTGAAGTGTTAATGAAAATTATTTTTATAAAAAAAGAAATGTCAAATGAACCAATTACATAATCACATGCCATTAGAAAGTCCATATGTGCCATACGTCAAATGTCATCCTTCATTTAAACAAAGTTTTCTTTCCTTGGTTTGTTGAAAAATATATAATAAAATAATTATTCTATGAAATTAGTTTTGTATTAAATAAAAATTCATATATCATAAAATTTATATAATTGTAATAGTTTTATTGACAAAAATTAAAATAAAATAAATAGTGAACAATTTTAAAAATCATACACAATGTTGATTTTTAGTTAATGAAATTTATATATTCTTTTGTAATAGTAATTGTGCATTTTGAAAAAACATGTTATTTTAA